TCGGGCATAACTGTATTTTTCCAAATTATCATACGTCCTGGTCGAGATATTCACTTATTTATTCATGTACATTTTCGTACTAATCCGAGTTCAGAGAATCCAGAGTTCAGTGTTCCAACTGTCTTGTCTTCTTTCACGTGCGTGCCTGCCAACCAATCAGGTTTAAGAATAGTTCTCTCTACCTCAACTCGAACTCACGCGTATTAGACTCAAGGTTAAGCCGCTCAGGCTAACGCGTCAAGATCATAATTTAGACTAGACAGATCAAAGTGAAGTCACAATAAGTATCACGGGGTAAAAGCGATTCAAGGTCATAACAGAGAGTTGTTGGCGGAATATAGATTTGAATAAAGCACGTTCGTGCAGGATTATGTTGAAGCATGTTTATTGTCCATTTCCTAATCAGTACTCTGACGTTTGTCTTGCTGTGTTTCCTACTTCCATTCACCCTTGTCATATGGATTATGATTTCCATCCTGTTCAACTGTGTTCTGATTTCGGAACTTGTCGAATGAATTGGTGTCCAGGAATCTTAAGCAATATTAGAAGCTGAGTCGTGATGAAGATAAATTATTGCGTGTCCATCCTGATTTCTTCGATCGTTACGGAGTGACATCTATAGGAAGGTCTGCGCGTGCTGCTTCCATGTACGGTATGTTCAGTGGTGTTGATCTATTCGGGAGTTCTTCAAAGTGTTTTGCTCACCTGTCCCTCTGTTGTTGGATCTCAGTGATGGTTTTGCATTCTTCATATTTTACTGATCTATCTGATTTAACGCATTTCCCTACCACTTTCTTCGTTGTTTTATATGATTGTCTCATGTTTATTTCTCCTTCGGCTGGGTCTTTCACGTACTTCTACTTGTCAGCTCTAATTCTCGTCTTTACTTGCACGTTTGAATGGAAAAATGATTCCACTGTACTTGTTGATTGATCGATTTCGAGTTCTAAATACAATATTTCGTTTGTGCTCATCTAGTACTTCTTGATTCAATTGCGTTATTTCGGGGATTCTTAGTTCATACTATAATGCAAATAATTCGAAACGCTATATTGGTGTCGCGATGGAGCCTGTGATGGAAAAGTGAGATATTCATTCAACTTCTGAAGCTTTTGATAATTTCTTTGAAAGGTTCGAAATATGGGCTATGACCAAGGAAGATGATGAGGATGTTAATATTGTAGCACATTTCCTCATATTCATCGGAATAGCACATAGCTTATTAAAAACTGTGGCTTTACCGGAATAGCCCATTTTGCTTCCTTATACAGCTCTCAAGGATCTACTGCTAGACTATGTTCAGCATACAAATTTCGAATGTCGTAAAGGAGGAAGGTTTAGTAAGGTGGTTCATGAGGATATAAAAATTTCCAACCCAGTGTATACTCAAAGTTATGCAGATAATTCATTGAGGAGTTGCGATGCAGTTCGTGAAGATGGGCACACGTTTGGTCAATGTTTGTCCAGTGGCAGGTCCCACTCTTTTAATTCATGTAAATTTCGTAATTCTATGTACTATATATGTGGTGATATTGGATATATTCAGTCAGTTTGTAATACTACTGTTCATCTTGCTGCAACGAATATGAAGTCTTGTAATTCTGAATCTATTAAGTCTAGTATTCCTAACGATCATTTATCTTTATCGCCAGTTTCAAAAGACAGTGTAGAGTCATATGGTAGTTCAGAGTTAAATGGAATTCAGAATTCTTGCGAGACAACAGTTCTCAATCAACCAACTTATCAGATTTTTCATGTTATTGCACCAGATGTGGTTTTTCCTAATGGTTCAATTATTTCTGACGAAATTCCTTGCAAATCTGAGGAAAATAGGTTGAGTGAACATAATTATGTTCGAAAACTTGATGTAGTTTTGATGGGTGCTAATTTTTCTAACGATCCTATGCTCTGCAATGACATTCCTAATAAACTTGAGGAAACTGTTTCAGAAGAATCAAATCTTGATGTCATATCAATTATTATTTGTCCTCATAATGCATTTGTTTCTGGTGGGAAACTTGTTTAGTGCGAAGCACAAGTACTAAATAAGATCGATTTCGATTACAATTCAGAGGGTTTCATATCAACTGCTGTTTATCCTTATCACAAAAACAATTCTAATGTTTACTCTATCCAGTGTGAAAAATATGTTCTAAATGAAGCCACATAATTCATAAATCGTAAATATTAAGATCCGATATTATTTCAAGGGGGAGGATAGTCTAAGTCTATGGTTCAAATTCTAGGATGCAGCGGTTTCAGTACACAACCGACATGCTGATTACACAATCCCAGGAAGCAGGTGAGTCTGTTCCGATTTCACTTGTTAATTCCAGCACATTCTAGATACTACAGAGTTTTTATCCAATACACTGTCGGACAGACACAGGATGAACTTAAGAAGACGTACAATGGACTACAATTACTTAGACTCTAATTTAAGCTGGGGCGGATTTGGTGTTTGAATGAACTGATGATACCTTTGTACTTGTTGGATGCTTGGTTTCGAATTCTAAATACAGTACATTCATTTGTGCTTATCTTGTACTTCTTGATTCAGTTGCATTATTTCTGGGACCCCTAGTTCGTACTATAATTCAAATAATTCGGTACATTATAATTCGGGATTCGTGAACAATTTAGTACTGACAGCTACGATCAGTCTCAAAATACACACAATAAAACAAAAACAGCACATACTGCGGCAGTTCGAAGGGCTGGTCATAAGAAAGAACAAACAAAGGTATTTTCTACATATTCGCCCAGTAGTGTTCACTAATTGATTCTACATATGGTTCTTTAAAAATTTTGTAGGCAGCATATTCTGTTAGATTTTGAACAATAAACTTAAATTACTTTATCAAGAAGATATTTTTTGTTCCGCTTAAAAAAACCTAACCAGATGCTTTTGAAGCAAATGTATGTAAAACTATACAAGTGTGGGTGTTGAGACACACAAAATAATACTTCTTATGCCTGCTTCTGATAAACAACTCGTCTGTCCACTAACTGAGATATCAAGGAAATTAAATTTGCCGTCACACTCGTATACATCAATGAAATTGATTGCCTAGTGCACACCGTAAAACTGAATTGGGAGTTATTTTCTGAGGCTCTGATCGACAATGATGAAAGTGTCATCGATGTGACAACAACGTGACGAGTAAAAGATGATCATTAGAAATAAATCTGTCAAGTATGATATCACTTATGTGAATAGACTTTAAGTGGATTCAGGATTTACTCGCGTTATTGCCGATTTTTATTTATTGCTTACTGAACTAAATGTAGGTGTATTGTGTTCATTTGCGGAGTCGTCGATTTACTGTTTCTTATGTCCTATTTTCCAGCCTTCACATACTATTTTACGTGCTCCCACAGTACATAAAGCAACTTTGTGTCCATCACGAACCTCTAAAGAATGATATCGGACCTTGTAATAAGTTAAAGGTGACATTTTATCTTCATAGTGCTACAAGAATAAGAACAAAGTCACTTGGCATTTTATCATCATTCTTTAAAGCCGAGGTGGTCATTAGGTCGCTAACTTCACCTTAGTAACGAATGGTTTTAACCCCTATTTTTCAATTCAAAATAAGGTTGGAATCTCCATTGGATTAAATCTCCATATGAGATCCTATCATACATGAATTGAGTAGCTCCTCGTCTCTCTTGAACTAAGTCATCACACACTCTAATGTCGATTGTCGAATGACTTTCCTACAATCTCTAGGGAGAAGCGATCATACAGTTATCTTATTCAAATTCATGGCTGAGATGGATAGTCAATAAGTTGTGCCGGCCCATCCGAACATATGGAAGGCAGGTACCTAGGAGATAAACTCTGTAGCATCGGCTGAAAACTGGGAAATCAACTCAAGGGCATCAGTACAAGAGGCATGCACTCATTTCAAGCAGTTATACAACCAGGTAACTAAACCATATATACCCTGGACAGTTCCAAAACAGAAGAAGAAGCACGGCTATCCCCGGATAGTCCAGGATATTCAACATTTACAAAGACAAAAGAAGAAATTTTTGAACGTTGCCATCAGCCTTGGCACAGCAAGTACAATGGAATGGTACAGGATGTTAAGGAACAAGCGTTTAATTAATATCCAGAAAGTACAGAGAAAATATGAAATTCAGTTGGCACAATCTTCAATGAAGCAGCTTAAGAGACTATTCTAGCACAAATTACTGAACAAGGACGTATCATTGGATTACCGACCTAATCGCGGAAGGGATTGGGCATTAAATGAGGCGAGGGCGAACTATTTTGAGACAGTTTTCACTCAGGAGCTTCTTCTGGACGAAGAACTAGAACCAAATACAAAGTTAACGAACCATCTGATCACAATAGACTTAAATCAAAACGATGTACTTAAGCCCCTTAGTGTTTTAGGCAAGAAAAGTCAACAGGACCAGATGAACATCATCTCCTAATCCTGAAACAAGTTACACAATACATTGAAGATCTAATAAATATGATAGTCAATATGTCACTCGTTCAAGCTGTGTACCCACCTACTGGAAGGGTGTAGTCGTTACTCCAATACATATAACAGGATCAAGACAACTTCCATTAAACTACAAACCTGTCAGCCTCACCAGTGTTGTAGTTAAGATACTGGAAAGAATAGTCAAGAAGACCATAATGACATTCGTGGAAAACAATAACTTACTAAACAACAGGCACCACGGTTTCAGAAAACATTTATGCTGTACGACAAACCTTCTTATATCAGGAGGGAAATGGACAGAAGCTCTGGATAATAGACAATTAGTGAGTGCTGCCTACACAGGCTTCAGCGAAGCATTTGTTAAGGCGCAGAAAAATAGATTACTCTTGAAGCTGGAAAATCCGGAAATTGTTGGACTTTTCTTAAGACTAAGTAATTCTTGGTGTGTAAGAATAGATTCCAAATGCTTATCCTGGAAACCAATACTTAGTGGATTACCTCAACATTTTGTACAGGTCATGTACTTTTTATATTGTAGGGAAACGAACTCCCAAGTATAGTTGAGTTCTCAATGTTACTACACGCTGACGATGTAAAAGTTTTAAAGTTTGTATTAGCTACGTTACAAAACTTTATTCCGAAATCGACCTTAGCAGTTTTTCAAATAATGTGGTGACTTTGTAGCAGTTGGTATGGTTTTATGTGCATATATTTGATTATACTTGGTATTCATTGAGAGATTCACATCATTATTCTTATAAGGTGTATTCGTCGTTCATTTGATCAGCATTTTCAAAAAGTGTATGCTTTCATTCGATAACACGATAGTTTTATTAGTCTACTCTCAACCACATTAAACATGTCTTTACAAAATTGTCAGGAGGTTCGAAATACAAAGTATGCTAAAGTCCGCTTGTAGGTTATTAAGTTATGGTGGTTTTTTCTGCATGCAGTGCTACGGATGTTGTCGTTTCATCACCAAATACGAAAGATGTTTTGTTATGCCAATTTAACGAATAACTTTAGTCCATACGTAGTATCCTCAGCTGATCATAAACGTTTAACACCGTAAGGTCATGTATTAAGCTGCGAATCACAATTTCCTTGGAGGTAGTTATGAAGTGTATCTCAGTGGCTAGCGCTAGCCAAGTAGTTTATTTCAGCTCTGACATATAAATAAATCCATAGCAGATTGTCCGGCACTTTTGTATTTCGTTAATCACTTTCGTGGTAGTCTGTGGTATGATAATTTAAACCATTGCATGACTATACAGACTGACTTATTTTCACTCAGGCGTATGAGATAATTTCTATTTTTGGATTTGCGTACTTGTCGTAGAGATAAGGCTTATTAGTAAATCGCTCTTGCAATTTTCTTGTTTACACATTGAAATCTTACTCAATATACCGAAATTGTTTGTCATCTAATTGTCTATGAGTCTAAATTTTTTATTGCGACTGGTACTACTTTATTTTCTTTCTGTATTTCTCAATCTGTTACTCAGAGTGACGACAAACCGTTTAATATGCTGCATTTTAAGGCGAATTTCTGAGAAATGACAATTCTCGATGAGTGTCACAGTAAGTTTATTACCTAATATTGTGACATATTTCGAATAACCTTGTTTGAAGTCGTAATGAAATTGTTATGCCCTATGACCGACTGTTAATCAAAGACCATCACAAGTAACCAGTATGCGACAAGAACGAGCAGACTGTTACTCTGCACTTGACGGCTGGCCCAACACTAACCAGCCTCGAACAAAGAGGTCGGCCAGTTACAACGTAGGACTAGGCACATACATGCATCGGTCCAAGTTGCCACACCTCATTAGCATAGGAAGACGAACACCGGAACGAAGAGGAGAAACACAAGACCAATGATCACCAGTCCGAGATCGTTCTTATGTAACATCGGTTGCTATGTTAATCCCACATAACTTATTTTAGCCTACGGAAAGGCCAATTTATTCATTCTTCTTGAGTCACATTTTGACCTTGTCAATTATTCGCTTATCAACCTTGACTGTTTTTATATGAGCGTTTGTGTGTGCACATCTTATCCTACTCATGCCTTTAGCTTATTTTTACCTGACTATAAATATCGATTAACGCTTGATTAAATTATATTCGCTCACATACCTTCTTCACTGTCCGTTATTCCGATTTGCTTCGCTTTCCGATCAACGATTGTACGAAATATACCTATTCAAAAATCCATTGTCGTATTTGACTTGTTTGATTCCGTTCTTAGCCAATGTGAGTTAAGTCGATGATTATATACGAGGATTGGCGATATGTATATTCCAATGAAAATCAGCAAACAATCCAACTGGTGTTAGATTAAGGGCCCCTAAAATGGATCACGTTGGGCTAGCCATCATCTTCATTATCTTTTGACCCTTAACCCCGCTTATCTATCTTTAAGGGTATCAGTGAGAGCATAAGGAAAAAAATTGAGTAATTTTCACAATGTGTTTTTGCCCTCCTGGGTGCTTATTACCTCACTTTATCACGGTCTTAACTGGAATTCAGTCCGATTTTTCCATTCAAAACTAATCCTATACCTATATTTAGGAGATTACGATGAATCACTGATGAATCTTCAGATGCACGGATGTTAAATCATTCTGGTTATTCTTATTGTCTATATGACGTCAGATGAAAAAATATGGAACTTTTCAAACACGTCGACTAATGATGCAAGGATGTTTTGGATTCATTTGCTTTCCATCACTAGTCTTATCAGAATTAAAGTAGTCGGGCGCATTGACAACTCATATGTTATGTACCCAACTGCCTTGATGAACTGATAACTGGTAAAATCTTGTCACACACAAAGCCAACTCGCTTGATATTTGCTAATATAAGCCATTGCTGACTCAGACAATATATCTTTCAACCGATAGAAGTCAAGGTATATTGGATAACACTTCAGTTTGTATAGCTTTGCGAATATAGATGTTGGGTTCGAAAGGTATAAAACATGTATAGGTCGCTTGTGTTCGGCCATAGGTCTTTTCAAAGGATTGTTTGCGTATTACCGGACCACCGAATGTCTTCTTTCTTCATAACAATTGGTATTGTTATCCATCCTCCTTTCATTCCGTCTAACTACCCTCTCCATATGCTGGTTTAAGACATCCATACTTGACTGAATCAATTTAGCTACGGGTATCCAATTGTTTACGATGGACTTAATGACGCTCGAAGCACTTTGCTCGCTCATTTCGTACTGAGACAATAAATATATCATACTATTTTTATACTAATAAATAATCAGCGGTTCTTATCCCTCTACCTTCTTACTTTAATATCTTCTTTTCTTGTCTAAATTCTAACCTTTTATTTTATCTAGATCATCTCAATATAAATTCCAAGGTATAACCCTTCATCTGTGGTTCCCACACTTTGTTCTTCCTAGATCATCCTCTTCACAATGCAACCTTTCAAAACTATTTGTTATAAATCCATTACGTTTGTCGCCAAATTTTTTTGAACATAAACAGAAGCATGAAGCTTCGGAAATATATGCAGCTGCACTAATTATCAATATTTCTCCGAATCTAAAAATTTCCTTTATTTTCATTCGCCTATTTTTGTGATCATGCATACAACTTCTCATTCCATAGATATAACTTTAATTTTTTGTGACTAACTGTCGTATCTTGTTCTTCACGTTGGTATTTTTTAATTGAAATGTTATTTGAATGTATTAAAAATTCAGACAACTAGCATCAAAATAAAAGGTTATATGAAAAACAGAAAGAAATATGTGGAAGATAGACCATGTGCTAGTCAAGTTGATCCTTTAAAGTAAACCTTTTGATACTGTCGGTCAGTAGTTTAAAGACTGAAGTGCTCGGATTGAAACATTAAGTTCCTGATTTTCATCAATAATGTATGTCTCCATGTATTATTTGAATACTCGCCTTATCTTTCAAATTTTGTAGTAGATGTTTGACTGCGTTTAAACGATAAGGAAAATTGCCTTTCGAATGGTATCCATTCTATTTATTAACCTTTGGATCAAAGTTCCTTGGTTCACATATAAATAACTCTTCCAATAACTCTTTATTTATGTCTCATTTCTTCTAATCAACCCTACATTTTGACGGGTAATTTTCTTTTTACCTTTTACATTATAGAGAAGTTAGCTGATTTACAAAAACAAGTAACTCAAACAAGCAAAAATGTTATAAATCGTACACAAAAGTGGCGACGTCTGTCAACTGTACCATCTACAGATTGTGATGTTGTAGTAATATTTAAAACAGAACTTTCCGAAGAGATTGTTGACTGGCTGATAAAAATTATTAATAACCGTGTACCTCAACTGGTCATACATAAACAGTTTCATCGCACATCAAGGCAGTATGCGCTTTATTTAACTGCTTCATATAGGGGGTAAGTTGGATTTATTTTTTAAGTACCTCGTATAGTTAATATCTAGGTGTAAAATTTATGTCCATATATTGATAATTCCCTTATATGACGCTGTCGTCTTGGTAACACTATTTTTCCATTGAAGTTGATCTAATTATATATATAATCACTCGCAAAACTTAATATTAGGCTTAATGTTTGGCTTTAAATCAAATACTTACTTTCATCAGGACAGGTGACGAATTTCATGAATAAAGTTTACTGGAGTTCACCTAGTTCATTTCATGTGATCCGTTCGTTTTTATCTATCGTACCTAACTCATTACAGTTATGCTTTATTTTATTTCTATGGGGACATATATGAATTCAAGTACAGACTTACAGTTATTATTTAATAAATGTTAATTAGCTTGTAGCTCAAAGTGAATGCAATCATTTTAATCCAATTTTTCAAAAATATTAAATATAGTTTTTGCCTGAATTTAAAACATAAAAACAATAATTCTCATCACTGATGCCGTTTTAATAAATTGTTTTTAATATACATAAGATAACAAGTTGGTCTGTGCAATTTGATTTATAAGACATCAATGAATATAAATTGGTAATTGATCATTAATGCTTTCAAAATATTTCCTTGCTTTTGTAGAATTAAGAATTAAATTATCTTGATCTAATGTGATTAATATAAACTGATTGGGGAGATGGCATTTCGGCATCAGCTAAGTTAATTGGACTATATCACTGTTTAGACTTGATGTGTTATATTTCGTTGTAGTCAATACAAAACAGAAAGCTGGTTCATGAAATGGTGTTATTTATTGAATTGAGTTTAGTTTGGAGATTCGAACCTTCTCATATTTTCTAAAATGGCGGAAATCAATTTTTTTTAAATCGGAAGAGATGTATATTTAAATTTGATACTAGTAGCAGTGAATGTATAGTTTTTTGTTCTTCTTCCGACATCGATCACCAATTCACTCTAGTTACACTTTTTCCATATTCCGTTACTTTTTGTTTAGTTACTTTGTATAACTTTTACTGAATTCTTTTCCTTGCACTGTTCTGACTCTTTGGGGAACTTTAAACAATACACTATTATTCTGGAGTTCTACGTTTTTACAAATTTTCAGTTAGTGATAAATATGCTGAACAAAATATATCGGTTAATAAAGCACCAGAAAGATTGATAGTTTTGTTTAGTTAGTGGCTATTTGGACTCAGTAGATAAGTGAATAACGCGATGGTGTTTGAAGCGAATGGTACTGAGTTCGAATCTCTGAGTGAACATCAACTCTGGATGCAGGTACATCCAGGTGATGAGTACCGAACAGGACGAAACGCGCGTCCTGGATTCCACTGTTAGCCACCATCTACCTCTGCTTATAATGCTTGTGATTTGTGGCAATATCGAGGCAATCTGCACAGGATGCACATATGCCAGTAAGAAACTGACCAGTTGCAATCTTAAATATCAATGGGAAGATTCAAACAACCGATGCAAAAATGAATTAAAATAAGTGATTGTTTAACAAATTAACGCAAGTTGTAGGAACTATTTTATAGATTCCAACCAAATTACTGAGTGTCGAACACTTTTTCATTTACATAAATTTGATAAAACCACTGTAATACACTTTTGATTATTTTATAGATTATTCAAGAGCCAAAAAGAGATTAACAAAACTAATCTCTTGATTGTTTTTGTAAAAACAGTGCAGTATTTTACATAGTTCAAACTTATTCTTACAAAATCTTTGATACTTGGTTAAATTTTCAACAGTATTTTTACATTCTTGTCTATGAAAAAAGCAGAATAACATTTTACTATTACGCAATATTTATAACAAATGGAAATCATCTAGTGCCTAAAAATTCATTGACTAAATTGTAAATCATTTTTGTTGTTACACTTGCACCACTTACTATCTTGAGAAATCATAATATGTGAAACAAAAGCTAAACACCGGTTATTACTTAGTAGTCATTCTTCCAAAATATCAGGCCACAAATACATATAAGGCTTCAAGCATACACAAATCCTTCGCGCTAAAATTTAGGAAGCAGATCTAACTATTCATTTATTATGTACACATATTTTATGATCAAGTACATTCGGGTATTAATCCACAAGTGTACTTAACTCTTTCAAACAAGAAAGATGATTTTTTCTAATCTTGATTTGTTTTTCTGTTTTACCTCAGTAATTAGTCAACCAATATGTGAATAAATTTGATTCTCGAACTGTTTTAAACCTTAATAACTACTAAATTAGTAAATGTGATCATTAAAATGGTTAAATCTCGTGATTACACTAGTTTTCTAAATAAGATTTCTATGGAAGATATAATGATCTTTGTTTTTTGTTTTGGTAGATAAAAAGAATTGTTGATGATTAATGATGCAACTAAATAACTGAGTAAATGTTCGTTTATTAGGCTTTAAACTAAACTTTATGTAAGATATGATAATATTACCTAATTAAACGATATTAAGTTCAGTTTGAACTAATAATAAAACTGTTGAGTAGTTCATCAGTGAGTATGCACAATACTTGTTAAACCACTTTTTAACTGTTATTCATATATTTTGTCTGATATAAGATCAATATAGTTGTTTTCCTCACAATAAAATTCATATAAGTAATATGGATTGATATTAATATGTAAATGAGAAGTCAATATTATTGTTCAGAGTACATCAAGACATTTTGACTATCAAGATCAAAGTGAATTCACTGTCTTCAAAATGAGCAAAAACTAAGAAATGCATCTCATAAGAATTTGTATGTTAATTAATTACATAACTGTATCCAAATGATCTATATTCAACAAAAATTTATTGATACATAAATAAAAGTCTTGAATTCTTGTTTCACCTTTGGTTCATCTGTTATTCTGTCATCTATGCTTATTATCGTCATCTCAAGGATTCCTTATACGAATGAATTTTTCTAAAAATAGTGTTTATTTCCATTCCAACTAAATAGTTAAGTATGTAAAAATGGTCCAACTTATCATTTGAAATGAAAATAGTTTAAAGCAGAAAATAATCTGTTTGGCAATATAATTGATCCAATCTGTAAAACCAATTTTACAGTTATTCAATGTATATAGTAGTTTGTTAAAATTTTTAGCAGTACTGTGTCATAAAGTGTGACAAAGTAATCAGTATTAATAAAGTGTTCAAAAATTGAGCCATTGACTAACTTGTATTCTTTTACCGACAGAGTAATGATTGGATATGTGTTTAGAAAACACTTCACTCGTGCATTTGATGTAATCTCTTCCACAAATCTGTGGTTAGACATTTGTGTGGCTCAAAACAGGAGTTCATCTTCTACATATTAATCATAGGCCAATTGAAAATAAAATATGAAGCTCAGCATGACTTAATGCTTTCTTTTAAAGATTTCGGAAATCTGTTTCTCAAGGTCTCTTATATAATATCGGATTAAAAACTAATGTTCATGGAAAGAATCTTATATTGACTGTACGAGATCTTTCATGTTGTTGTTCTTAACTTCAATTTCCTGTCAATAAGACTAAGGGATAGCTATTTTCAATGTGGATTTGCCGGAGTTTATTCACACTACTTATCAGTTTGTTTTGTATGATTTAGAAATGCACTTATTTACCTGAGAAAGTTCTGTTTTATGGTTATAAATATAATGGCAAGTCAGTTGTTAAGTGAATTCTATTGTAGTGGCTCTACTGTATGAATATTTGGGAAGCGCACTTTCACATGCATTAAGCTTGGAATATGTCCGGAACTACATTGAAAGTTTCAAAATCAAATCATCTTGCTCAGAGAATACAATACTGCATTCATCTGAGCTTCGAGTCTTCTCTATCATTTTATTTATATCCATGTTGCTATACTTCTGATTATTGATATAAACTATACATTGTTAAATTATCTGCTTTATATAGTTCAGTTTTACATTCTTGTTTCTAAAAAAAAGTAAAGATTAGTGATACAATCAAGTTGTATAACTAGAGTATGTGTAATCAGGTAAATATTTTTCTAATTGTCTATATTATTTAGTTAATACATTCTTCGACTTATTTTTTATTAATTGACCATAAACTGTATTCAATTGCTTTGAATTCTTCATATTGCATATATAAGTACAATAAACACGTAATTAATGGTTACATTATTGAGTTGTAGAATAAATATTGAATTTATTGTTCACATGATATACACCACTGTCACCTGAGCAACACAAAATTTTAATAAATCCAGTCTTTCTAACAGTTTTGGGTTATTATTATTAGTAGTAGTAGTATTTACTTTCAAACTAATAATTGTCTTAAAAATTATTAGAACAACACATATAAGCGAACAATTGTCTTCAATTCGATCGTCATCAGGCTTTACTCTAATATACATGAATATTTATACGAAGATGTTAAGCCAATCAAGGCAATATGGGTCAACAATCACAATAAAATAGAATAAGTCACTACACATAATAGGTAAAAGTACAAGTTGATAGTAGTAGGAAGACAGGTGAACTGATAATAGTGAGAATAATAAAATACAATAACAAAACTCTTATCAATAGTTAATCGTTGGAAATCGGTCAAACAGACATGGGTAAATAGACTAGGAATAGTAATCACAAAACATTAAAATCATTATGTAATAAGAAGTGTGTAAATAATTAGATAGTGAAAAATGCAAAGAGGCCGAAAATTACAAACAAATACTAGATGTGAAAATAAGGTTAACGATAACACAAATAGAATAAAATAAATAATGATAATAATAAAATTTAAAATAAAAAATTGTTAGTTAAGTTATAACTGGCTATGGAAGGGATAGGGGGGTCACGTATTTCTTCTGTACACATAAATTGGGGTTATATGTACGAATTCCAATGGCTTCAGCTATATATAGGAGACGGGAACAGACTCCGTCGGGAAATGATGGAAGTAGACAATAAATAACTCGAAATGATTTCGATTTATCTACTGCATGACCGCTATCAATAAGATATGCCAATATAGAACTGCGAATAGATTTTCTCTGTATATTAGAGTAAAGCCTGATGCCGATCTAATTGAAAACAATTGTTCGCTTATATGTGTTGTTCTAATTTTCACAATGGGAATCTTTAATATTTTAAAAATTATTCTAAGATTAATTACTATTTTAATGAGAATGTAGTGTTTTGAGTTTTGCTAATTCACTTGTTCATGTGTAAAATGTAAGAATATTTTCAAACTATTAGAATTGTGCTTAGTGTGGGTATATCACCTGGAAGAAATAACGAATACTCTGTTAGTGGTACTGATTTTCAAAGTTATGCGCCTTATGTTTCATTGATTTAGAAAATGTTGATATAAAAGAATAGACATTTACAAATACGAAAGGTTAAACTTTCCTAAATGTTTCTCTTATATAGAAAAAAAGTCATTTAAAAACATGTAACACTCAAACTTGAAAAAGAAGTAATAAAACCTTTCAGCATGAAAGCTTCAGTGCAGCGAAATCTGAAAAACGTCAATAAGTCTAAACCTCCCTTAAAGATTATGTGATTATTTTCAAGATTATAGTATAGTGAAGGAGAACACAGGTGAGGACAACCGACTTGTATTTAGCACAAAATTACAGAGTTACTCGGTAAAATAGGAAAACCATATAGTAAATCGTTAATTTGCAAAATATTAATCCATCAAATCAAACCGGACTGTTCCTGTTGCAAACATCAATCCATTGTCTCACATTTCACTGTTCATGCCCTCTTTCTTACAAATTGCATTGTGTTGTCGCTCTTCCTTTCTTGATCTTCTCCTATCTTCTGCTACCATACATTACGTTTTATAACTCGCGTCATATACTACTTACATCGATATAAGTAGCACGCACCACAACAGTTTGTAAGACCAAACAATATATTGCAAAACACGTGATTAACTACGGACGCCTCAGAAACGTGTTAATGAGAAATAAAGTTGAGGTTCATGCCTGTGTCCAATTCTTTATCTGTAAAAAGCCACATTTTAAATCGATTTTTATGGACTATCCTAACTTTGTGGAGCTAAAGTAGTTATTATTAGAAATATATTGTTTAATCACTAAACATTTTAAGACCATCAATACTGCATAGTGTAACAATGCATAAATTCACAAAAAAACAAATAAATTGAAATCCTAACTTTACTTAAATACGTCTGTTACCCATCGTGGAGGAGCATAGGTTGCCCATCAGTATTCTCCATCCAACTCTGTTCTGGAAAATCCTTTCCACTTGTTCCAGTTGCTATCCATCATTTTAATGTCTGCTTCCAATTCCCGACGTGTTGTGTTCTTTGACCTTTCTCTTTTCCGTTTCCCTTCAGGATTCTAGGTAAGCGCTTGCTTCGTGATGCAGTTTGATGCTTTATGTAATTTATATCCTATCTACCTCCACTGTCTTCCCAATTTCCTCTTCATTTGGAAACTGATTTTTTTCTCTCACAGTAGGCTGTTTGCTGATAGTATCCGGTCAGTGAACATTGAGTATCTTGCGTCGACAACTGTTTAGAAATACCTCTACCTTTTTGATGATAGTTGTGGTAGTTCTCCAAGTTTCAGCTCCGCACAGTAGAACTGTCTGTACGTTTGTGTTGAAGATTCTTACTTATATGTTGTTTGAGAGTGGTTTTGAGTTCCATATGTTCTTCAATTGCAGGAATACGACCCTTGCTTCGTCGATTCTTACCTTTGCATCAAATCCTCCTTGTTTATTGATGATGCTGTTCATGTATGTGAAAGTTTCCACCTCTTCCAGAGCTTCACCATTAAGTGTAATCGGGTTGGCGTTCTCTTTGTTGCATTTGAGGATGTTGCTTTTAACCTTGGGTATTTCGAGGTCTACTGTTGTAGAGGCTTCTGCTGCAATGGTTGTCTTGACATGCATTTGTTAGTGTGTATTGGATAGAAGGGCTAGGTCATTTACGAAATCTAAATTGTCTAGCTGCATCGAACCTCCAAATGCTGTGGTTAAATTCAAACTTCAATGAGTGAAACACCTTATCAGTTGAATCATAATTTATTTACACTTATTAATAACGTCTTATCACCGAAAGAAGTACACCATCTTCCCTTCGGATGATTTTATGCACTAACGTATTGTTGTACTAAACTTCATACTACTTTATTTATGAAAAGCTAGTAGTAGTATGTTCTTACAATGTTTATCTTTTGAAAATAAAGTCTACTTACAGGTGCTGAAGAATTAAGAATTAAAAAGTCTCTATTACCTGAACATGGTGGTGGCTTACGTGAATTTTCAGTTGATGAATTCAGTTTATTCGATAATGTAATGGATGAGAAAGTTTTTCTGTCAACCAGTGAACGTAGTAATATTGTTCATCATTTTCTGATGAGTTTACGTGCTTGTCGTGAAGATTCCGATATGTGTTCCATTAAATTTGCTAATGATCAATGTATGAGTAAGTTCCGTGATTTAATTTCAATCAGAAATAGTTTTCTCCAAGGCATATTTTGCTATTATAAATGAATTGTTTTATGTCAATCTAAAATATTTTATTCAATATTATAAGCAAAGATGGATGGTGGCTAGCAGTGGAAACCCGGACGCATGTTTCGTCCTATTTGGGATTCGTTAGCTGGAGATACCTACATCTCAGAGTTGATGTTCACTTTGAGACTCGAACCCAGTACCGTTCGCTTCAAACACCATCGCGTTATCCACTTACCTACTAAGTCCTAAAATAACAATGGGAAAATAGAAGAAAAAACAACACCTCAAAAGTGATTATTCATTTGAAAAATTAGTCTGAATTTACTAACTATAAAATCTGACAGAAGATTTCCCAAAGGAATATACTTTGTTCATAAGTTTATGTGCTAAAGATAAATGTTATCAGTGAATATACTGAAGATTTTTGACAGATATTAAGATGAATCACTTTTCATTACTATGTAGCTTATTTTAAATTAGGTATGTTACCCTAATTCGTTTATTATCCTTTTTTTAAAAAAGCGCATCGCAACAAGTTAAGATATTCGTTACCAAAAACTGAATTGAGTGATTCAAAAATTAATATTATTGACTTTAGAGTGTAATATTACTTAGTTTAATTGTAAAACATACTGTTTTTAAACATACTGAATATCCTTATGTTAATGATTTTATCTAGCTTTCCAAAACTTCCAGCCTCTTCCAGGGAAGTCCTACTCGCTGCCTTCTCGTGGCATTACTGTTGTTTACGAAATTGAGAGGACGAAAAGTGAATGTTCGGTGCCTTAACCGGGTTGGCGGACACCAAGAGTCCACCTAGGGGAGTTGGAAAACCCTGATTACAAACCAATGGTGCACATGGGCTCCAGCATCCTGAAGGAACAAATGAATTATGAACCAATTATTGGTCACTGGCTATCATAAGACTGCATCTCTTACGTTGCTCCACTGCCTTGTGGATCAGACCTTCAGGTCGAAGGTTCGGGGTGTGGCCCCTAAGAAAACCACTTGCTTCGGTCTGAACACCCGGGCAGTACCACAGCCCTCACACATATCAAATGAGATCTGTGTGGCGCATATGTATTCGGTGTCCCCTTGTACCAATATCTATGTGTTCAAATAAATAAATAAATAAAAATGGGTTGGTGCCTGACAAAATCTCTTCGCGGGTTCAGAAGGGTCATTTGGGTCATAATCTGATTCCACTTGAAGTAGATGTTCCTTTTATATGTTTTCTTCAATGAGTTACTGTCTTACTCTGTATGATTAACTCAGCTTCCACGGCTACACAGCAGAACTCCGATTATGATTTAATTAATTATCGCTATAAGTTTATGGAGATCATTCATTGTTATTGAAATCACGAATCGATCCAAGTTAGACGGCCATTGGAAACCTGCAAACATTGGACAGGCATTTCGTTCTTGCATGAGACTTCTCGGCATTGCCCATCTACAACTCCTTGCCGAGTATCAAACACAGGACCCTTGGTCTCGAAGGAAACACCTAACCTCTTGACGACCGAGTTCGCATCCGATGACGTAGAAGTCTAATTTCAGTCAATCCGCGATGTTGCGTAACCATCTTTCATTGTTTTCGGTGGGTGATTTCCTCGCACTTGACAAGGTAGAACGTCAATGGTCACGGCTTCTCACTAGAACTCGGAAAATTTCCTCTCGAAACAATTCACTAGTGAGGATCAAGAAGGTACTCATCGAAAACCCGGGAAGATTTGCACTCAGTATCGCTAAATGGTCCCATGCTAGAACTGAGCAACTGTTCAATGTTTCCAACTTCTTAATAGTTGTTTAACTGAAATCAGTTCGTGTTCCGAATAACACGTTTATATGTGCATTAGGGTTAACAGCACTTCCTGGTGGGTCAAACTGAAGCAGTTGTAATGCTATTCGAGATTCCAATCCAATGATTGAAATTCAAATGTTTTAACCACAAAGTCATTGTAAATTTACATATTCTATTACGTAGTTAACCGATGAAAATAGTATTTATGATGATTCGGAGATTTAAAAAATTGTCATAAAATACTCTTTAATTTTAGTTCCATCTCTTCAATCCGCTGGTATTATCTTACAAATATTTCCATTACACGAACCAAGTGAATTAAATAAGTTAACTAGTATTTGGATTCGTCGTTGGGTTGTCCTACAACCATTAGATGAAATTAAAGAATATTTTGGTACAAAAGTTGCATTTTATTTTGCATGGCTTGGCCATTATACATATTCATTAATATTTCCATCAGTTGTTGGACTTGCTGTTTGGTTATTTGTTAATCCTAACGTAAGTTTTTATTATTATTGATTTTTGGTATTATGTATTTCGTATTGATATTTAATAGTATTGACAAGTTGATCCTCCATTTAAAACGCTCTAGTGTAATTTGATTTTCATTGATTAAATGACAAGATTATTTTGGTAGGATAAGTCCTACAATTTCTAAGGTTAGTTTTTGAATGAATGGTAGTTACATGTTCCTTAACTTATTTTCTTCTGTTGTGACTTTAAGCCAATCTAAATACGATTCATTCACTCTTGTACTATGCTAAACCAATGACGTTCGACCGGTATGAGCAGCCTAACGTCCTTATTGGTCCTTTGTTCACCTAGCCCGTCCAGTTGAGTCCAGAACACCAATAACATGTCCCACTATGCGAATCATTTATTTCAAACATACATGGTTTATATACCAACCAAACAGACCTTATCATACCATAAAATAGGAAATAACATTTACACAAGATCAAACCAAAAAGTGGCTGTGAACGTGGGAGACGGTAGTTAATAAACTGAACATAATTTAAGAACAGTAAATCGTATAATAATAATCTACAGGTCAAAACGAAGCTTATAATAAGGGAAATATAGATATACATAATCTAATTGCTGAACAATTATACAATAGGAATATATATATATATATATATATATATATATATATATATATATATATATATATATATATAATATACTAGTCCATTAATAGGTCTCGGGAATTACCCGTAGTTTAATTTTCACTAGAATATAACAAGAGTTCTATGAATTAGTGAAATAAACGTGTTTAATGTTATATTAACTTGATGCATAGAAAGCTTCATTTTATCGACTGCTCACAATTTGTTAGAAATTTGGATAGGACTTCTTTATTGATGAAACATTTTTTTTGTAGACCAGCTGTTTTCTGTTAAAATGTTCTGTGTACAGAGATTTTCTTTGTATCATTTTTCGTAAAGATAGATGAACTGCTACTCGCTTACATAGTTAAATGTTATTTAATGTATTTCAATATTTGGTCCTATCAACACGTCTTCTATATGTGGTACGCATCATGTGTATCATAAATAAGTAATTATTGGTATTATTATTACTGTTTTAAGATTCTAAATGATATCTTTTTACAAATCTATTGGTTTTAGAAAACAATTCAAAGATGGTTTTCAGCATACATAGGGATATCGAATAAAGAACCACTAAGAAACCATTAATTTGTAGTTCACAACTCAATAATGCGACCGTATAATTCTGTTCTGTTTAATCAAATGGCCTAATGAGACCATATTAACGATTAGGTACTAAGCTTTTATTGTTTTTGCCAGGAGATCTGAAGGTTCTCAGTTCCATATTGTGGTTGACTGTAAAATTAGATTGTCAGGGTGTTTGAGACTAGGATCAGACAACTATTTATCTCTACGATGTACTTTTAAAACTTTTCTTTAACCGAAGCGTCAGTTCATAGTAAGCACTGGTTTTGATTTTCACATAATTTTCACAAAGTCACCTAGTAAGAAAAAGAGCCGTTAATCTATTTGATCTCAAGTTTCTTTTTGACAGAATATAATTATCCTTTTTTCTCTCTTACACACCTAATTTTTAATTTAAATACAGAAAAATTCTTCATTTTATTATTTATTAATGGCTATTATCAATTTAATATGGACATCATTATATCTGGAACATTGGAAAAGGACTAGTTCATTTTTAGCTTATCGCTGGGGTTCATGGGATACACCAATTTCATTATTAGAAGAGCCTAGACCATTATTTAAAGTAAGAATTTCTTTCTATTATATATATAATAAGAATTATTGTACATTGTTATTTACTACTTTTGTTGTCACTTACTGTTGACGTTTTTATTACTAATATTATTATTAGTAGTATTAGTACTAGTATCAGTATTATCATTTTCGTTTTATCCTCTATTATATTATTATCATCCATCTATCCAAACTATAAAATCCTATAGAATAATTGGATTGTGACTAACAGTTGAATTGAAGATCTACGTTTCGTTCTATTTAAGACTCATGAGCTGAATTTAAGTGAATTTCAGTGTTAGTGTTTACATTACATCTGAAGCCTAGTATCTTTCGTTTTAAATCTCAATGGATTTTCCAATAAAGTAATTCGCATAAATCAAATGCATACAACTCAATGGCTTTATTCTATCCCAAGAAAATATAATTTCAAATTATATTTTATAAAGAGTTTTTAGCATCTTATCGTTAATAACATCTTCGATGAAATACTTATTTCTAGTTATCAAACATATTCAAACTAGGTGTTTGACGTGAATTTTCAGAGAAATTAATTAATTATAGACTATCTGTAGATATAACCCACTTTGCACACACGTGATATGCAACCATTGATGACATGGATTCTGTGCACCTCTGCTTAACGAACAGAACCAGGTCAATCATTCTTTGTTTTTTGACCTTCATTTTCACTTTTGATTATTCATTAATTATCTTATGATTCATACTGTTTGTTAATCATTGATAAAAAGGTTTCTTTTCGGCTAGATCATTTATTAAAGCTGTACAAGGGTATTCATAGTTATTTTACACATAGTAGTAAATTCTTGAGTCATTGATAAAGATACTGAAAGTTACTCAAAAACCTCAAGTGTTGAATAAAGGTACTTAGTAGAATGGAATTAACACATAGAAGTGAGGTTTGAAAGATAATTGTCTACTTGATGAATACAATGAAGATGGTTGAGCGAATGAACACATGCCAAAAAAAGCTTACAAAGTAAGATATTAAGGCCACGATAAAGTAAGTGACTGCAAAATGGTACGTCTAAAAACAGAGAGACCAAAACACGAATTATTAAAGCCTTATCTGTTCGGAAATTCCTTATTCACCTTCTCTTAAAACTAGTTTGTCTGACCGCTTAAAAATGACAGTTTTGATTTTCTTAAAAATATTCACTGACCAATAGTTTTATCTTTTGTTAATTTCTCGTTTGAAATTTCAAGGTCTTTGTAGTGGATTATCTTCGATACAGTTTTTAAGCCTCTGTATAACACTCGTCCTCATAACCGTTAACATATAACTCTGAGAAGTTTATAGATTTTAGAAGGTAATATGCAGTATTGACTACAGTTTATCAGTGTGCAGAGTAGATCACTAAGTCACAAGAACAAAGCGAATTCGAGAAGAAATATGAATGCAAGCGAGCGAACTAGGTGTCAAATGAACTAAGATTTAAGCACATATATATAGGAAGGCGAATGAGCTATTCAGCGATTTAAGTAAGAAATATTTAAGCTAGTAAGAGGGATAGTTGTGTATATTGTGTCACTTGATCTAGGATACCTGTTCATATAGATATAATAATAATAATACAAGATATAAACAAATTGTTACTGCTTAAATGACAAAGTCTTTTGAATAAGTTCATTGGAAGGTAGCTGAATATTGATCACAGTCACGTACAGTCATCCATAGCTTATTTTTCTCAAGTTAAAAAATTACTTAACCTTTTCATCCCTTGATTAAATCCATTTTTTATTCGAATTATATTCCCTACGTTTCTACATAAAAGCATTATCATGTTATTGATGAGCAGGACTACATTATGACCTGTTTTTGTTGACTTACGTACACCGTGAGTAAATGTCTCGATGTAATCTTTCCGCTACAAGTTTTGGCTCATTAATATATCCATCCAGCTGATGAGTTCAAAGTAAGACGAAACACATATCCTGAAAAGTGTTAGTTATAATCCAAACACACTGTTTTCTATAATCCACTCTTTTCCATAATCACAGACAGTATCATTAATTTGACATCTTTATTATATATCATGTTAATTTTATCTCTCTGTACTGATGTGAAGTATGAGTAGTTGAGCCTGATGCACATTTATGAAAGCTGTTTTGGCAGACTTAAATAAACTGTGTAACGTTTTGCTCTGTCTTCTTAATGAATATAAGAATGCTTACGTGATTACTTGCACAAAGCAACACTGAAAAGAAGTACGGTTTAACGTAAGAAACGTGGGAAATTCACTGAATATTTAAATGGTATATGCTTTAAGATATTGCTCCAAATTTCTAAATATCATATCTTCACCATTTGAATAGCCTACATAGATATCCTACTTGAGATATTCAATTCCTTTATTATATAATCTATATCTATATATAATGACATTGTAATCTTGTATTTCAATACTTTAAAATGTTCATTTATATGTTCCCTTTGTTTTTTTTAATAATTAGGGTAAATTATCTTTATGCCCAATTACCGGTAGACCTATACGTACTTATTCAAAATGGAAACGTTTACTAATTTTATGCTTTATTACTACACCTATTGTTCTACTTTCATTAATTATTGTTATTTATATCACATTAATGTATGTTCGACTACAAGATAAAATGAATATTTATGCTGATAATAATACATCTATTATACCAAATTTTATATTGGTAACTTTACCAAAGGTAGGTTATTTAATTATTTGTTTATTATATGGAATTTATTTATATGAAATTAAGTACCATATAAATAAATGATCTTTTTGACAGTTGATAAAATGAGTACTGAATTTCTGTTTCATCAGGATACTGTCAGATCTACTAGTTAAAGAATACTGAATGGAATAAAAAAATGTGTATCTATTATTTACTGTAATACATAGTTGAGATTGATAAGGCTTTAAAATCCCGACCGAAGCTGCTACCTTGACGCGGTGGTCGGGCTTGCCTATTGTGATGACCCAACCGAGCTATATTATCTGGAACATATGTTCCTGTAGGTTCTACTATGCCAGGCAGGTCGATTGGAGAACGGTAAGACTAAAAGCAGCAACTCAAGGTCTGAGGGCGAAATCGTACTGCAGAGGAGTGTGACAGCAGTAAGGTGTTTCCCTCGGACAACCAGCATGACAGCGATGCTGCCTTCTCACAAGGAAGGAAAGGGTTAGAAAAGGTCGACCCTAAAAATGTCACACCTCTCCTTACCTCACGGATTTCCGTCTCCGGCGGTAAGGCCTTTTGAAGAACGGAGCTAACACATTAAAAACCTTCCACGAAAAGGCCGTGCGCGATCGGCCTCAAGCAGTTGTCCCTTGGGCTCTGCAGTCACTCTCCCAGGTCGTTAAGGTGAACATTAATCCAACTTCCTTTCCAGGTTCCTCAAGAAATACCCTTCTACCGTGTGGCCAGCCGGGAAGTGATATCAGCCCTCATAACCGTAACAGCACACGAGACCAAGTTGGTTACATTCAAATCCTTCCTACACATCCTAATACCTCTCTTATCTCCAAGACTAACACTTCTTACGTCCCTTTATCACCTCGCACCGCTAGGGCAAACGATTCGAGTACGCGGAACGTTATTCCTGGTCTCTTGAAACCACGCTCTAAACTACACGTAGGAGCTTTTAACATCCGAACGCTGTGCCAAATAGGACAGCAGGCTTCCTTAGCTAGGACTTTAGAATCTCGCGCCATCGATGTGTGCTGCGTCTCCGAAACGCGCATACAGGATCCGAGTAGCGTCATTCATTTGACATCACTATGTCAAAACAAAGAACCAACTCGATTCACACTTCGTGTATCTGGAAGCCCAGATGCTGCTTCTCGTGGACTCGCCGGCGTAGGCATAGAACTGAGTCCTAGGGCAGAACTAGCTCTCTTAGAGTGGATCCCAGTAGACAGTCGTTTGTGCGCTGTCCGACCAAACGGAACAGTAATGATTCTGAAAGATAGGGACACTCGTCGTTGCCTCTTCGTCGTCTCTGCCTATTCTCCCACAGACTGCAGCTCAGATGATGTAAAAGATAAGTTTTACAGAAAGCTTTCCGACCTTCTTCGAAAAGCTAGGCACTCTGATGTAGTAATAGTAGCTGGTGACTTTAATGCTCAAGTAGGTAAAATAAGCGAAAGGAAAAAACACCTGAGTGGATCTTATAGCGTCGTGGCTCAAAGAACAGATAATGGCGACCATCTGTTGCAGCTATGTTCAGATAACCGCCTCTTTCTTGCAAATACTAACTTTAAGCATAAGCAAAAACATCTTTTGACATGGTGACCCCCGAATTCGTCCCAATGTTGGACCCAAATAGATCACATCGCTATCAGCCACCGATGGAGGGGCTCGATTTTTTCAAAAATGTTAACTCGTAGGTACTTGACTTTAAACCTCTGATGATTAGCTACATTCCTCTGTTATATATATATATATCAATCTCGTTAAGCTAATGGATATTTTTACATACAATATAAAAGGCATCGTACTAAAGGATTTTGTAGTTCATGTTTTTTCTTTGTGCTGGTTCATTCTAAATTTTATTTGGATGTTTGTTTTTATAATCTAATTTAAAATCACGTCAACGGATACTTCATTCACATTTGTATTATTTAGATTTTCCTGGCTGTATCAATATCAATAATGGATTTTAGTTATAAAAAAATAGCTGTTTGGCTTACAGATTTTGAAAACCATCGTTTAGAAGATGACTACAATAATCATTATGTAGTCAAGTTGATTTTGGTAAGTGTAATTTTTTTGTGAAGAATAAATATTAACTCATTAACTAAGTATATTTTTATTTACTGGACTTTAGCCAACACGCTCTACGTGAAGATTAGTGATATTCTGTTAATTCATTAAAACTTGGTGGACCGTTACATGAGCGTACAATCCTGTCGTAGTTTACTGATTAAGGGAACTGAAACATCTGCATGTTATATTTGTGTCTTTTCCATTTAATTTTATATTGTTTTATTTACTATCATCGGTTTAAGAATTCATTCACTGAATTATCTTGTTTATAAACGGAAATTACATTCTATGACTTCGATTCATTACGTAGCTGAATACACATATTATTTCACATAATACAACTTTACTGTTTCTGAAAATGAAGTTATCTCGTGGTGAAATTTCTTCCGTAAATTATTTTATCATAATACCACGTACATCGCTTATTACTTACTTATTATTACTTACGTCTGTTACTCCTCGTTAAGGAGCATAGGCCGCTCATCGGCATTCTCCATCCAACCCTGTCCTGGGCAATCCCTTCCGGCTCTTTCCAGTTCCTATTCGTCCTTTTCATATCTGCTTCTATTTCTCGACGTAATGTGTTCTTTGGCCTTCCTCTTTTCCACTTCCCTTCAGGATTCCAAATAAGAACTTGCCTCGTGATGCAGTTTGATGATTTACGTAATGTATGTCCTATCCATTTCCATCCTAATTTCCTCTTCAGCTGGAAGCTGGTTTGTTCTCTCCCACAGAAGGCTGTTGCTGATGGTATCCGGCCAATGGATGTTGAGTATCTTGCGTAGACAGCTATTTATAAATACTTGCACCTTCTTGATGATGGTTGTAGTAGTTCTCCAAGTTTCAGCTCCGTTCAGTAGAACTGACTGTCTTGATGTTCGTATTGAAGATTCTGACTTTGATATTGGATGAAAGTTGTTTTGAGTTCCACTTGTACATCGCTAATGAAGTTAGATAATTGGGATGTTTCTAAAATGCGATAAAATGAGGAATTATTGCTTAGATATGAATATTTTTTTTCAGAATAACAATAATAATAATAATAGTCTAATTTGTCGTTTCACCTAGAAAACCAAATTATGTACTTTCACACATTCACACTACGAAATACTAGTTGATTTTACAGAATATAAAAATACACTTGGAATTACAGTTGGTAATTAAATTTTCAATCTTAATTTAAATATTACTGCTCAATGAAATGAGCAGTCATTTAATGTAAATCCCATAATGAATTCATATTTTAGAACAATGTTATATAAGTGTGATCAATTCTTTCTTCATCTATGTGATATTTGATTTTTTTCTAACAACTAAATTTGTGTTAATGAATAAACTGAAATCTTTTGTACAAGAGTTGAATTGACCACTGTTTGATATTTCAGGGAGGAGAGTATTGTTATTGATACATTGAGCTAATCAGCAATCGTCAAAATGATAAATGCACGTAATTGGTCAAGGAGGGTAATTTTTTATGTGAGGGATGAGATGTAAACAGTTAAGATTTAATATAAATGAGTACATCTACACATAACCCGGTTTAACCCAAGTAAACTTATTTCCTCACCCGAGCTTATGTATAGGAAGAGTGCGTATCAGTATCACTTTTCGGACATTACATGTCGTAACATTTACTTGTAATTCATTTTGGTTTATTAGTTGTCAACTTATTGTATCAGTGTTCCTGTATGTATCATAAATTCATTGATTAACCCGAGTCCATAATCTTTGGATTTACAAATGATAATAATTTTATCCTATATGATACTGAATTATAATATACACCTGTGAATTAACAAATTATAACTGTTGCTTAGTGGTATTGTTCTCGTGTTTACATATTTTTTGGCAATATTAATCGATACGAAGATATAATTGGATAATCAATTTGATGATCGATAGATATTGCGATAAATAAACTTGTTTGGTTAAAAAGGGATATGGTTATGTCATGGAAACAATTACTCTGTGATTTAATTAAGAAACACTGTGACCATCAGTTTTCACTGTAAAATATCTCCCACTATTTACAGTTATCCTTACTGTATGTGTGTATAAATTTTCGATTTTAACAATATAATCTTCACCATTTATAAATTCTTTTCTTAAGGTGTTTTCTTTATTGAAAATCATAATATTTCAAGTTTTAAGAAGTTATGATTCTTAACTGTCCAGAACGTATTAATATACATTAAAAAAATGTCTTGACCATGTTTGTAAATAAAAAGACTTAGGTCTTTCTTTGTATTCTCGTTAAGTTTGGCATTTGTGTTATCAATTTTATTCTGTTTTTTCTTGACTTATTTTTTACTGTTCTGTTAAGTTATGGTTTGCTTACTATACAGAGTATTGTCTGTAGGTTTTCTAAAGGAAATAAACTCAAAGTGTTATCTTACCTAGTCAAAAATGTCAGTTCTATCATAATTGAATAGTTTGTTTACTATTTCTAAGGCTATCATTTATTTTGAAGTTTTCTTATGTTGAATTAGTAAATAATGTACGTAGCCTTCAATTTGTGGGGTGCGGATTCAACCTCTGATCTGCTTACTTAAATTTAGGACGCCAATTAGTGTAATAAGCCATCGCATAAACAGTATTATTCGGATCCGAGTACAACAATATGTTCGTAGTATTTGACTTATATCCTCATATTGGTCTATTCATTCATTTATAGATTAATTTTCGATTGGTTGCATATCATGTTGCTGCTGAATTCACATGGATTCCTGTTCCACCAGAACAGGGGTATTTATACTTTACACGCCTTATATTGGTTACTTTAAATATTGAGCACTGGTTTACCATCCAATAGACATTTGTCATAACCGCTTTATAACTTGGTTATATTCAATAAAATATGTAGAATCTAAAACCCTTGAAAATAACGAACGTTAGCGAATAGTTCATACTGACTTTTTCAGGTGTGTGTGTGTGTGTGTGTATGAGGGAGCGAGAGAGTTGAATACGTCGTTATTTTCTTTTTACGAGCAACATTACCATTCTCATTGTATTTTTGCCTAAAACAATCCGATACTCAAATAATTTTTTGCACTTTTTCCTTTTTTCTCTTCTTTTCCCATAATAGCTTCAATTTGTGAATTCATTTTATTCCCTATTCTACACAGCATTTTATCTGAAAGATTTGGAATTATTAAGAAAGGTAACATTTGATTTAAAGTTATTCATTGTATTTATAATATCAATTTTTAAATTAATAACAGTTTAATAAAAATCTTAGTATATCATTGAAAACAGTGATTTACGTAATGAACCTGGATCAAGTAAATGATCATTGAGGAACCCTTCAATAGTGTATCTTCAACGACCTTAGATAGGACCATCTGTAGTGCCTTCATTTAGACTAATCAGACAGAATTCTATGTCAAAAGCATTTTCAATTTTAGTCAGTGCGCGATTTGATATCATCTTTGGGGTCAGCTTTTCACCCCCAACTTTATCAACACTGATCACAGCTTCTCATTACAAACGAATGCAATTATTGTTACTAACCGAGAGATTTGTATGATTATCCAGGTTGAACGTTAAAATGTACTATATTATATCAAAAAAAATTTGGATGAAACGGCCGTCTAGTGCTTCCAGATTTTCAATGGTGGTCTAACATCAGTCGGTTCATGATCTCGATCAAAAACTTAGTGATCTCCACAACCCCATACTGAATATTATTATTACTGAATCCACAATAAATCTAAATGAATCCAATCAAAATGCACTATCTAGTCTCTGATATATTTTGTAGATAATTAATCTGTCTAACTAATACTTTAATTTCAAATAACGTTCAATGTTATTACGTAGCGAAGTATCCAATCAACATTTAATTACATACGAAAATTGTCTCAAAAATAATGAAATCAATAAAATCACCCTCCATTTCTCACAGCATAATTTATATTATTATTGTCGTTTTTGTGTTTCAACACAATGTAGTTAGGTATCGTATTCGTGATGTGTAAATCATGTGTTACATTTTTGCAGAGTGTAAAGTAAAGTAAAGTCTGTTATCACAAAAATGACTGTATTTTGAATTGAAACGACGCAACCAGAGAAATCAATAGTATATATTATTTGTATCAAGGCTAGGAATAGTACCGGATTGATAAAACTAAAATAGGTAAAAGTACAAGTTGATAGTACGAAGACAGGTGAACAGATAGTGGTAAGAATAATAAACTACAATAACAAAACTCTTATCAATAGTTAATCGTTGGAAATAGAAGGTCAAATAAACATGGGTAAATAGACTAGGAATAGTAATCACAAAACATTAAAATCATTACGTAATAAGAAGTGTGTGAATAATTAGATAGTGAAGAATACAAAGAGGCGGATAATGACAAACGAATAATGGATGTGGAAATAAGGTTAACAATAACACATAGAATAAAATAAATAATGATAATAATAAAATTTAAAATAAAAAATTGTTAGTTAAGTTATAACTGGCCATGGAAGGGATACGGGGGTCACGTATTTCTTCTGTACACATAAATTGGTTTTATATGTACGAATTCCAATGGCTTCAGCTATACATAGGAGACGAGAACGAACTCCGTCGGGAAATGATGGAGGTATATGGTAGATAACTCGAAATGATTTCGATTTATCTACTGCATGACCGCTATCAATAAGATGTGCCAATATAGAACTGCGAATAGTTTTTCTCTGGCCCTTTATGTACCAAGTTGGTAGATGTTCACTCATTCGTTGGTTAAATTGCCTGGTAGTACGCCCTATATAGCTATCTCCACAGGAGCAGCTGAATTTGTAAATGCACATGGAAGAGGCCAACTCAGGTAACTTATCCTTTGTTTGAGTAGACATCGCTGGTCGACAAGAGAAGGTCAACGCAAGATTGGCTGCGTAGAATGTCTTGGTGATTACTTTGGTTAACCTATATTTCAGAGTGTCACTAGCCACATCCCCGTTGAATTGCACTTTCATGTATAAAGGTTTCTTACGAACAGTCGAAATCTCCGACTTCTTTATTATATCCTGCATGTATTTCTTGATGAACGCTCTGGAGTAGCCGATCTCGGTCAGTGAGTTGTTGAGAAATTCAAGCTCCTGACTTAGAGTGTCTACTGTACAGATCTTTTTTGCTCTGCTCATGAGACATCTGACCAAATTTCTCTTGTACCGGATGGGTGTGAAACTGCAGAAGTGAGTATATTGGCATGAAGAGGGGTTTCTTTTATACACGCTTCTACTTAATGTGCCGTCACTTCGTCTGCTTAGCGTGACGTCAAGGAAGCTCAGCTTCTTATCATGCTCGCTTTCACCAGTGAAGGTGATCGCTGGGTGAACACTGTTGAATTGGTCTAGGAGTTCCTCTTTACTAATGTTTTGGTCTACGATAATGAATGTGTCGTCAATGTATCGGCAATATAAATCCAGTTTCTTAATAGTCTCATTGAGAGGTCCGTTTTCTAGCTTTGCTAGGAAGAGGTCAGCTAAAATCGGGCCTAGAGGCGAGCCCATGGCTATCCCGTCTATTTGTCTATAGTAAGTATTGTTGAAGACAAAATGTACATTCAGAGTGCATCTTAGGAGCAGTTCCCTTAGGCTATCGTTAGGCAGGCCAATGTTGATTTGTTTCTTTGATATTTGCTTGCATATAAAATCAATAGTCTCTATAAGTGGTACGTTGGTGAACAAAGATTCAACATCCAATGAGATCATATTTTTCATACTGACATTAATATTTTCTACTTTGGAGGTGAAGTTGAAGACATCTTTTACACTATTTCTAACAACTGATTTGTGTAAAGGTTCTAGGATTCGTACTAGCCACTTTGCGATTTTGTGGTAAGGAGAATTGTACATATCTAGAACTGGGCGTAGAGGAAGACCCGATTTATGTACTTCAGGCAAACCATACAATCGTGGTGTAAATGATCCAGTCGGCTTAATTGAATCGTAAATCTCAGTCGTAATTATTCCCTTTTTCGTTAGATCTTTAAGGAAATTGGCCAATTGTCTTTCTACTTTATTATTGATGTCACAATTACTAGTAATTTTCTGAAATTTGCTAGAATCGCTAAGCATTGTTTCCATTTTTCCCATGTAATCATTTTTGTTCATGAGAACTATACCTCCTCCTTTATCTGGTTTGGTTATGGTCAGGGTTTCATCTTTTCTTAGTTTCATTAAAGAGTCACGGTGCTGCTTGGTTAGTAGGTGATTTGTGGTACCCTTACTATTCTTGTATTGTTGGCAGCTATCAACTAGTGTGGTTTTAAACCGAGCAAGGTCATCCAATGAGGTAGGAATCAAGTCAGTTGTTTGTGAAAATAAATTCTCAAATTGTACATCAGTATCTAATTGGTTGATTCTATGTCTACTATCACAGAATTTAGGTCCCAGAGACAAAGCTTCTAGCTGTACTACATCTAGTTGAATATTGGAAAAATTATGTACGTACCGTTTCGTGTCGAAGGGAAACTCCTTTTCTGGCTTTTGGTTTTCCAAAGTTTTCATCAGTTTCGTCAACGTTTTCTCAGATCTGTTCTTGGAAATTTTTCCCACATAATCCATAAACATTGACTGAAGCTCTGAAGGAAGGTTTTTAACGGAATATTGTCTCTGAAGAAGATTCCTTTCGAAGTCGCAGATATTCATTTTCAAAGTATCAATTTGATTCGACGCATGTCTTTCAAGTGTTTTTGCATTAGGATAGATTCGGTTACGACGTAAAGACTTCCAATATATTTTAGGATATCTATTAGATTGTATACAACTAATAGCAAATTCTAAGCTCGTTTTCGCTTCTGTGAGACGTGCATTAAACTTCAGAAACTCATTGAGTGTCTTAAATGCAACAGGGTCCCCACGTCGAAGTCCTTATTTTATTGATTAACAAAGAAATACTGAGATTGGGATACTAGATAAAGACCAAAAGTTGGTTGATGAACTGAGTTATCTTCATTGACTGCGGTGATTTTCATGTGTATTTTGTATGCCAGTTACCGCCCCCTTTGAATAATGGCGTTGATCAACATGGAAATCGACTGAAAGAAAAGTGGTGCCGGCCAAACCAAGAAATATCATCAGTTCATAAAGTCATTTACTATTGAACTGAGTAATATTAGTGTATGAAAACTACCTGTTTGAAGTCTGTGCGTTTATCACGTCTAATGGTTGGAGACATTGGACGATAAGTAATCGTTTAATCGACTCTTGTTTTCTTTGTTTATGTATTTGCTAGTTTATTTAGAATTCTCATTGATTGTCGGCGTATGATCATTGTATACTCATTTACGTAATTATATATCGTTCTGTAATGAAACAACTTACTTTTTAGAGAAACTATGAAAATGTCAACTACAATTTTCTGTTTGTTCGTAACAATATTCGTTGCATTAAAGGGCATTATAGTTCAGTTACCTTCTTTATTACTTACAAGCTTATATGGTCGTTTTGTAACCCGCTTAAATCATTTTCACTGTGTGGGAAATTCTCACTGAGCTATTCTGGCCATGATTGACCTGTAGAACTGAGTATTTGTAACTGATTGATCATTGTATAGTGATCAGTGTCATTTTTGTAGTCCATTAATACTGACCAAACTCTGTCGATCAAGCTGCAACGTATTTCAACATCTTCTGCACTACTTTAAGATGTTAGGTGGTCGCAATCTTACAATTAGCATCTTTTCCATCAAGACCATACGTACACTTTGCTGACGAGTGCCAAATAGAAAGAAACAGAGATCTAGGGTATTCTGATGACAATTTTCAACTACCACACACCTCAACATAGTATACTCAAGGTTGAGTTCATTAGGAATGCGACCACATATCAACTTGATCCATAAAATTCGATCAATGCAAAAGAACTAGGCAAATATGAAATTAATGACTACTCAATGATCAATCAGTTATGAAAATGTAGTTCAACCAGTTCACAAATTACTTAAAACTTTACATACTCGCATCTTCGAATTCACACGTTTTATAGTGATAGTAGTTATTTTAAAAAATCACGTCACGTTTCAATCTACAATCTAATCGTTTAAAGTAGAATACTGTGTAGTAAACAGAACACGGGTGGGGACAATCGAATGTATTTAACACAAAATTACAGGACTTGTTAATGAAATCTAACATTCATAAAGTAAATGCCTAATTTACAAAATGTCCGACAATTGTCTCAAAATGACTCAAACTTCATTGTTCTTTCATTTTCATACAAATCGCATTTTCTTTCCATTCTTTACTTTTCGATCCTCTTGTCTCTCTGCTGCCAGAACTTCTGTTCACGACTAAAATCATATACTACTTATGTCAATATAAGTAGCACACACCACAACTGTAATCAGTAGGATCACAATATGTCTAGGATAAAGTTTATTTACAAGATCATACTTTATCATAAAAATTAAGTTAAAATGTACTCGACGATACTTCAAATTTCCCTGTTTATTTATTTGTTAATTTATGAATGTTAACTGTTTAAGAGTTTCAATACTACAACAGAAAAACCATCAAATAACACAACTCTTCAATTCCTAGTTATTTTACTAATGAATAGCAATATTCATCATCAAAATTACTTTAAAAGAAAATTGAATGAAATCTCTGAGTCAGCCAGTCATTTACAACGTAGGACTAGTCACATATGTGCATCGGCCCAAGTCGCCATACCTCATTAGCACAACAAGATGAACACCGAATTCACAGAAGTAGTTAATTCAATGGCGGTAATAAATAAAAGAAAGATTGCATATAAGGATATAGTACAGGAAGAAAAAATTAGTTGGTAGAAAGAAAGATATGAAGCGATTTTAATCTCATAATTTAAGATAGGTTTTGTGGATATTATAGTAATTTCAATGGTTAAGATCATGAGTCAGTTGAAGCTAGACCACCATGGAAAACCTCCAAATGCCTTATTATGGCCAAGAGTGGGGTGGGCCCGCCCGCCCTCTCGAAATGCTCTCACACGGCCACGCGTATACAGCCTCTGCCAGGGAAGCCCTACTCACTGCATTCTCGTGACATTACTGTTGTTTACGAAAATGGGAGGATGAAAAGAGAATGTCCGGCGCTTCAACCGGATTCCAAACCAATGATGCACATGGGCTCCAGTATCCTGCGGGAACAAATAGCGTATGAACCAATCGTTGGTCACCAGCTACCATAGGACTGCATCTCCTCACGATGCTCCACTGCATTGTGGATCAGACCTTCAGGTCGAAGGCTCGGGGTATGACCCCTAAGAAAACCACCTGCTTCAGTCTGGGCACCCGAGCAGTATCACAGTCCACACACACAAATATGGTGTAGTGCATATATACTTGGCGCCCTCTTGTACCAATATTTATGTGTTCAAATAAAAATAATAAATAAATAACATAATTTAAGAGAAGATAGAGAGTATATACACCTACTCCATTTTAATCGATTCTGAGCCATGTCACCCAGCGTCTTCAACCATTGGTTACGATAGTCTACTTATATATTTAAATAACATCATAACCTATATGGTCATTGACATGAGTTACATGAATAGAGAATTTAGGCATTAAAACATGATATTTCAATAAACCATAGAATATATTTAAAAGCTTTTTAGTAATTTCCAGAAAAACACTTATGGTATCTTAAACAAATGAATACTTTACGACAATATTCGCATTTACTTCATTTAACACTTAAAATAATAACATACTTGTGTGGACATACTACCATATCATCTGATTTAGTATATAGAAGAATAAAAATATTATTCTATTTTTGTTTATTTTAAAAGATAAATATTTGTATCTTGTTTTCCCTTTTTAAATTGTACTTTATGCCATGTATTTAATAATGACTTGTTATATATATTTGTGTGCTTCTTCAATGGATTTACAACTGAATCTCTTCCCAAATATATATATCTCTGTTCCCATTGTATTCATTCATGCATAACAAATACAGTTAGCATTTTTCGACACATCATGTTTTTTTTCTTACTTCAATGTACAACTATTCGGTTGGTTTGAGAGATTTTTTTTCCATTAAACAAAAAGAAAAAAGTGAACAGTTTTACAAATTCTTGGCGTCATTTAATTATTTAGATAAAGGAAATAAAACACTTCTTTAATAAAATACATAGTCAGTATATACTTTAGTGATAATTCTATGTGTAGATACTTATTAATAATCAGTATTCTGTGCTTCAATATATAGGCCAATATGTATTTGAGATGAATATTGTGTATCAATGATTAGCCAATCAAAGAATATGAAACATTTCATTTTTTTAAGTTTGTCGATATCAACGCCAAGGTTGAACTTGATAGTTTCAAATCAATTGAGCATTTGAGTAGAAAGTAAATGATAATTAATTATTTATTTATTTTAACACATAGATTTTGGTACAAGGAGGCACCAAATACATATGCGCCACACCATATTTGTGTGTGTGGACTGTGATACTGCTCGGGTGCCCAGACAGAAGCAGGTGGTTTTCTTAGGGGGCCACACTCTGAGCCTTTGACCTTAATGTTTGATCCACAATGCAGTGGATCATCGTGAGGAGATGCAGTTCCATGGAAGCCGGTGACCAACGATTGGTTCATACGCTATTTGTTCCCGCAGGATACTGGAGCCCATGTGCATCATTGACTTGGGATCCGGTTGAAGCACCGGACATTCTCTTTTCATCCTCCCATTTTCGTAAACAACAGTAATGTCACGAGAATGCAGTGAGTAGGGCTTCCCTGGCAAAGGCTATATACGCGTGGCCGTGTGAGAGCATTTCGAGAGGGCGGGCGGGCCCACCCCACTCTTGGCCATACCAGGGCATTTTGGGGTACATAATCTAAGTGGGACTTAATGGTGGTTTTTTTTAATTTTATGCACATTTAATGCTATCTTATGAATTTATTATCAAAAAATGTAACTATTGAATTATATTTTTACCTTTGTTAGCCCATGCTGCATGTACAATTGATTTGGTATATTTTAAATATGGAGAAATTATTTGTTCATTGACAAATAAAACTATAAAATAAATTATAATCTTGAACAGTTATTAAGTTGTGTAAATTCGACGACGTAGCTATGAAAGGATTATCAAATAAGTAGTCTTCTCGTTGTTATTCAATGAATTTTGTTTTTATTAGGTAGAACTGCTTTAAATTCTCGAGTATATTCAATGCTCAGTCCATTTTACTAGTTAATTTGTTAGATGGTTGTGGGTTACCCGTAGAAAGCCAGAAATTTTGAACAAACTGGTACTTTGTTAAGTTTGTACCTTAGTCACGAAGTTTTAATGTCGAAAATGTTATCAATGGGTTATTTTAAATACGACTCGCCTCCACGTTCCGAATTATTAAAGAAAGTGTATCATGATGTCAAATAAATTATACTAGTGATTACATTGTATCGGCAGGGTTCAATTGATTCTAACAAACTGACCACATGAAGCTGCTTACTAAAAAATGATCAGCAAGTTTAAGCCGTTTTATGTATAGAAGAATAATTGATTTACTGGAATTCATGATTTTGAAATATATATATATATATATAACTCCGCCTGGAGTCCCTCCGGGGGCAGAAACCTGGAGAACTACAAAAGCCATCATCCAGAAAATACAGGTGTTTATTAACAGTTGTCTACGCAAAATACTTCAGATCCATTGGCCGGACACTATTAGCAACAACGTACTGTGGGAGAGAACAAACCAGATCCCAGCGGAGGAAGAAGCGCTGGAAGTGGATAGGACACACATTGAGGAAAGCACCCAACTGCGTCACAAGACAGGCCCTCACATGGAATCTTCAGGGCCAAAGGAGGAGAGGAAGACCAAAGAACACATTACGCCGGGAAATGGAGATAGACATGATAAGAATGAACCAGAATTGGATGGAACTAGAAAAGAAGGCCCAGGACAGAGTGGGTTGGAGAATGCTGGTCAGCGGCCTATGCTCCATTGGGAGTAACAGGCGTAAGTAAGTAAGTAAGTAATATATATATATATATATACCTAATTTATTTTTGTTATAATTATTCTCTTCTTTCTTACGTTTTTCTTCCGAATATATCCAGCAACTTGTAACATTACTACTTACTCGTCAAATAATTGATTCAATCAGAGAAATTTTTTTACCACTTGGTCACTCACGTTTACGACAAGTATGGTTATCATTAAAATATGAACAGAGATGCTTAGCTGAACGTAATAAGTTAAAATCTGAAGATAATAATGGTTCATTATCAACATCCAACCCTTTGTCATCATCATCGTTATCATTAGCACAACCCAGTAACACAGATTCAGATGTTGATAAATGTTCAATATTGCCTGAAAATAAAAGTCAATGTGTTGATAATAACATAACCAGGATGGATGTTGATGTGAATTCAGAAATCCTTATCCATCAACGAATCCAAAAAGTCACTGAAAAAAATAAGTTAAACAATAATTCAAAATCTTTCGGTAAGATTGTCGTGTTTTATTCTATGTACTAGTAAATTTCTAAACGTGTTATTTTAAATCGTAAATTAGTGTATTTTTATGATATTCTTTGTCAAATGTGAAAGGCTGAATACCAAGTTGAAGTTTAATACAAAACTTATAATCTGCTCCATGCATTCTAAGACATCAAGACGAAGTACTGGTGATATTCAGAAGCCTTACAACTTGAAAACCATTGACAAAGTTTGGTTTCGATTAGGATTCAACAAGTACAAAGTGTTATATAAAGGTTACCGACACTTTGTTGCTACAGCTACAAATTTAATCAGAATAGTAAAGTGATCTTTAACTGTGCCGTTTCTTGATAAGGAACTCACTGAATGCAGAACATAGATCTGAAATATTATATGTAAAAATAGTCAAATTCCTACCCTGAGGAAGTTTACACAAACTTGCTGAGCGAAACATTTGAATTATTTCAATTTCAATTCCCGAGATTATCTCAAACAAATATTTTTGTATATCGCATCTTCTATATTCTCAGCACCCAATTTCTGTTAAATTGTTCCTTCAAATATTGACAAACATTCATGTAAAATATTTTGGAAATGTAAACTAGCTTATCGGAAAAAAGAAGAATCAGTCAACAATTGAGCTGAACAGTTTAAAAGAAGCAACATAACCAGAACTCCTCACACCCATTTTTTTATGGATCAGATCATTATACTATGTTACGACCTACAAGATAAATCTATTATAAATTGTATAAATCTTCAGTATTAATGTCAAACTGACATGTATTATTACAAGATAAAAGGAAACTATAAGGAAATAACTTGTGAAAGTAATGATAATATATATAACATATTCAGTATTATCTATTTATGTATCTTCTAAACATTGTTTATTTAACTTTCAATGTGTAGATAATTCAGAAGAAACACGAATAACACCCGCTGAGAGAGAAGCTACATTGTTACGTGTAAGTAATAAATATTAATTTGTAAACAATTAACACTTTTACCTATCAATCCATAGTCAATGTTTGAATTTTGACAGAGTGATTGTTGTTTGTCAGTACTCTGTAACTGTTATATCTAGAAGGTTGTTCTTGATATACCGCGTATGACGTGAGCACTAGAACACCAGAACCCTTCCAAGTCGCAATGAGAAGACAGAAGACTAATAAAAGGAATATTATTCCCAGACAGTGTCAATTATAGTACAAAATTGTCAGGTATTTATAGTTTTAAGTAAGAACGAAATCATCATCATAGTCCACCAATCCGCATACAGGAGGTTATTAGCATTATCCAATCGAGAAGCTACATGTAGGAATTCTAGAATATTCTCCCCAAAGGTGATTGGATGGAATATCTTCGGCCCCTTCTGAACCTCCTACAGCTTCCTCGAGTTTACCCGTGGTCCGTCGTCACAGTAACATAGACCAAAATTTTAGAAATAAATCTCAGTATATATGAGTATATATATTTAGCTATCTTGGAGTTATTTTTCTAAAATGCAACTTATACCACTCGGTTATTTTCTAATTCAAATAATATCCAGTAAATTATCGAATTGAAATAGACCATATCGATCTATACAACAACTAAATTCCATCAGTGAATTTATTCTCCAGTCACAATCAGTTTTGTTGTATTAGGCATAGTGAGATCTGAAGTTCCGACTTATTAATTAACAGTTTAACGCTTAGAGCATCAAATTACAAGCTGAACACTATTGTATATAGTTGTATGTTGGTTCAAAGGTTTGTTATGTAATTTTGTTTTAAACGATATACTTCTGGTGCGTGCTACTTATATTGATATAAGTAGTATACGACGCGAGTTAAAAGCGTAATATCTGGCAGCAGAAGATGGGGGAAGATCAAGAAAGGAAGAGCGGGAACACAATGCAATTTATAAGAAAACGCATGAACAATGAAATGTGAGACAATGGATTGATGTTTGCAACAGGAACAGTCCGGTTTGATTTGATGGATTAATATTTTGCAAATTAACGATTTACTATATGGTTTTTCTATTTTACCGAGTAACTCTGTAATTTTGTGCTAAATACAAGTCGGTTGTCCTCACCTGTGTTCTGTTCGCTACATACTATCCATATTTTCTAATTAGTTACATATTGATCGTTTAATGTAATTGAATAAGTATTATGGATATTTTTTCCCGAAATTTATCAATACAAACTTATAAACGTTTATTTTAGAATTTGGTAATGAATATAAAACTGATAGATTTCGAGTGATGGACTAATCTTTTAGCCAGTTGATTCAAAATCACTAAGTGACTTTCATAACTCGACTGTTTTAACTTGTGAACCTGTGTGCCCTGTTTATTGTAAAACGCAACGATACCGCCAATCAGAGAACAGCGAATTATCGATCGGACTAATGACGCATAAAACACGTACGAGCAGCCTAGAGTCCTGATTGGTATCGCTTCCTGTCTAGCCCAGCCAGCTAAGCCCAGAACACTAATCTCAGCCTCTGCAATATGAATTATTTGTTTCCAAACATACGGGGTTTATGTACCAATCAAACAGACCACAACGTACCATAATATATGAAACAACACTTGTACAATATTTGGCCAAAAGTGGCTGTGAATGAGGGAGATAGTAATTACTAGACAGGCCATAACTCAAGAATGGTAAATCGTATAGTAATAGTCTATGAGTCAAATTAAAGCTTAGAATAAGAGCGACCTGAATATGAACAGTTTACTTACATAACAATCATACGATAAAAATATACTCATAGTATTGTCCATAAATAGATCCCAGAAGTTACCATTCATTATTCTTATCGGGATATGACATCGACTCCATCAATATTGTTTTAAGATTTTAGAAAGTATAACTAACTCTTAAATACACAAAACATACGATTCAAAATTGAAAATGGGATCCCACACTTGACTAATGAATTCAATCATCTTTACTATTTACATTTACCGGTAAAATTTAACTAATATCATTTTAAATATCCATTTTTTTTAGATGACACTACTGAAAAACTCATATATTTCTAAGAGTCTTTTCTTCAACTTTTCTTTCCTCTCTGTTGATTTCTTTCAATTTACACATAGTATGAAGATCCAACGGATGATTTCTTAGAAATGTTTATTCAATTCGGTTATGTAAGTATGTTTACTGGCATATTTCCATTAGCCGGTTTATTGGCTTTTATGAATAATGTAATTGAAATACGAGGTGATGCATATAAATTATCAACTAGTTATCAACGTCCATTTGGTCAATTTGCAAATAGTATTGGTATTTGGCAAGTAAGTATTGTTCGTTTTTTTCGCAGTATCGTATTCATTTTACTAAGATTTTATACAATTTAGAGATTTAGTAGTTAATATCTCTCTATCCTATATTCGTTGGTTAATGTATTTTATCTTATCAATTTCAAACACTTTGCCATCTAATAATATTTATTGTAATTATATTTTTAATCAACTAATTTATATATTGTATATCACTTATTTGTCAGTAGGATATTTACGGAATTCAGTAGTAGATTATGATATTTATTATCATCTCAAGATCACTTCTATGGTCTTACACTTCACTTTCACTGTCATTTATCGAATAATTCACCAATCAGTCAGTTGTAGAACCTGGTACATATATACATCCACCCAAAAATGCCCTGGTATGGCCGAGAGTGGGGTGTGTTCGCCCTCCCTCTCGAAATGCTCTCACACGGCCACGCGTATACAGCCTCTGCCAGGGAAGTCCTTCTCGTGGCGGGGGTGTTATTTATGAAAATGAGAGGATGAAAAGCGAATGTCCGGCGCTTTAACCGGATTCCAAACCAATGATGCACATGGGCTCCGGTATCCTGCAGGAACAAATGGCGTATGAACCGACCATGGGTATGCATCTCCTCACGATGTTCCACTACCTTGTGGATCAGACCTTTAGGTCAAGGGCTCAGGGAGTGGCCCCCTAAGAGAACCACCTGCTTCAGTCTGGGCACCCGAGGAGTATCACAGTCCACACACACAAATATGGTGTGGTGCATATATATTTGGTGCCCTCTTGTACCGATATTTATGTGTTGAAATAATAAATAATAATAATACATCCATCCAAATTGCCAAGTGGATACTTTTAACAGGATAGTATATATTTGAAGGTCTGTTGTCATTAACATCATAAAACCCAAAATGGTTAATCGTCCTTTTTATCATTATCGTATTTATCGTGCTATTTTGATTCAACATCTCTATTCTCTGTTCATTTATATCCTTCTTCTGGTTCCCATTATTAAAATTCGTATTATAGGTTCCCTCTATCTAGGCAATTAAGAAATTTTTTTATTGGAATGTGAATTGTGTAGAACGATAGCTTAATGGTTAAATCACTTAACTATCAACCACAGGGTTTTAGGTTGAAACCACGATCCACCTACTTTGGTTGAGGAAGCCACTAGCTATCATATTCAACATTATGTCGTTCGAAATTGAGTAATATCAACCTGTACACATAATAAATTACGTTTATCATTCATAATCATTACTATACATTTCATTTATACTATTATGTCGAGAGTAGTTAGATTTTATTAGAAAGGCTAAGATCTCTTCTGGAACGATAACCGCTGGCGTACTTTTTACCGATTCGATTTTCCGCATGACCTTCGCCCTCCGATTGGTTGTTGCGTTTTTTAGTTCGCTGAATTGCCGTATGCTCGAAGATCATATTTCGCTATTACAGTAACAACTTTTGTACCAATTTCGTTTGAGTCTCTTGTTCTACCACAAATATCAAACTACCTGCGGTTTCGTCTTCCTATCTTAGCTGTCAAGATTTGATGTGTTGGGCATAATTGACTGTTGTTAGTTCTGAAGAGAACTGATCGTATTAGTGAAGCCCAATCGTCTTTGTTCATAAATCTGTAACATCGTAGATCGTACTGAACCCCGATAACAAAACACATGTTATTTCAACAAATTGAGTGTTTATTATTACTTTTCTCAGTAGTATATGGCTATTTTCTTTTACTTTATATTTCAAATAGTCAGCATTAGATGTTGTCAGCTATATAGCTGTCATTGTGAATATTGCTTTACTTGGCATATCTGGAACTGTACAACGTCTGTTTCCTAATTTATCTGCTTCACAGTTGATTATTTTTCTTGTTCTGATTGAAGTAAGTCAAATGACTGGCGAAGAAAGATAATAAAATATATGGTTGTTCTTTTATTTTTGTTGAGCAATACATTCAATATGCAGTTTATGTTATTGTTATTAAATGTTCTCTTTTAAAATATGTTTTGTAATTAGCTAAAATTACATCTGTGTCAGTTTTTTATTTATTTCCAATGCCTCTTTTAGCTGGTCATTGAACAGACTGTTGTATATTGAATCAATAAGCACTTATAGTGTAATGTTTGAAGTGATTTATTATGTGAAATAAGTCGAAAAGATTTGTTGACAGCATTATATTATCTTAGATTACACTGTTGAGATTGTGAATGAAGAATAAATTAGCATATTATCACTATTATTATTATTAGCTTTATTCAATATTATATTTTGGTGCAATATAGAACTCTCAGCACAAAATATTTCATTGAGTTTCCGTTTCTTATTTGTTGATTGATATTGATGATAAATATTGAGCAATAGCCAGTTAGATGTTAGCATTACAGAAATCGACATCTGAATAATGTTCATTCTTTTCAATCCATATTGCTAACAATCACGATATTTCCGATTGTACATTTTCGTAACTTGTACCGAGAAAGGTCGTAAACTTTTCACAAATGCACCTGAATAAGTTTTGCAATTAATTGACATAATCATCTGTCAAAATAAACAATGAAACAGATAACTTGTTGAAATATCTAGATGGCAGGAACAGATACCCCAGATTTTGAAACAGGCCTCTATTTTGTTATCATATTAGTAACAGTACAATGTAGACACGGGCAAACGTTCTTTAATTTTTATTTGAACACCGTACAAATGCAGATATTACATCAGGATGGCTGAATATACAAAACCCTAAAAAGTTTAAAATTATGATACTGAAAATGAAACAAACATTTATTTTAGTAATTGTCCATGTTAACAATAGCAATCTATAAGTGAAATTATAGTGTCTGGTACTTTGTCACACCTACATGGATTATTCAGTTGTACACTCATATACGTTCATATAAAAACAGTCGATTGTAAGCGAATACCTGACATGGTCAAAATATGTGCAGATATTGACTCAAAAAGGATAAATTAATTCATCTCTTCAAAAGTCAGAATAATCCATGTAGAGTATGATGAAGTACTAGATGCTGTAAGATTAGTGCAACAGTGGATAATTTTTCTTGCTTTGTTGTAATCAAAATTTTAACTAAGTACGTTTAGTTGTGTAGATCATTCAACCAGTAGTTTACGAATAATCCACTATCTTATTAGCCTGTGACTGAAATCAATCAGTCGATGGGTGAATCAAGTATAAATGTTGTTTTGTGAAACACCGCAACGTAGTGTTGTGAATTGTTGGAAGGACACTGATCCATAATCTTTATGTCTAATTTTTCAATTAATTTTTTCAAGTATGTGAGTTTCTTTACAGGATAACAAGCTACCTGATAATATACAGTAATAATTTATCGACCATTCTCTCCTCTTCCTACTAGCATGCAATAATCATAACACGTGCTGCGATCAGTGCACTTGTTCCGCATACGCCTACTTCTGTTGTACTTCAGATAGCTAAATTAGAGCATCGTAGACGAGAAGCCCTTAAGGTAATTTACTTCGTTAATAGTGTTTTTAGTTTATTGATGCGTTCATTTATACTATGATTGCTGTTTAGATTCGTCTAGTCAAACTTATTTCTGTATAATTCAAGCTTACTTAAATTGAATTACGAACGGAAAGGCTTTCCCTGTAACTTCCTCTTATAGCACTATACAATTCGATTTCAGGTTTCATGAGTGCCATGACTTCTTGAAATAGGGAATATACCATGCAAATATATCTCAACAACAACTGAGTTCTCAAACTTTTTGGTAACAAATAATACTAGCAATCAAGCACGCCTTACGGTTAATTCTTTATTAAACTATTCCTGTCTAGTAGAAAACATTCTGTGAGATATTTTATTCTTATTTCAGCTAACCTAACAAATATTAATAATCTTATTTCATTATGAAAATAAAAACTGTATGATTATAACCTGCTTAGTGTAAGAGAACAATTCTATCTACAAGCCATGCTATTTTAAGAACTATAAACAGAATCGTTTTTCGAAATTATGCAAATCTACACACGGACAGAAAGTGATGCGTACTCATTCAAAAAAATTGAATTTCTCCAAGTCTTGACTACTGAATCCAATACAATATTTAGTGATGCATTTTCTGCTGACCGTATTGGGTATCTTGTATTTTATAAATAATTTTTACCCTATCAATTTAGACTTATCCAATATGGAAAGTCATGTTTAAATCAAACTGAATTCCTACATAGCATCGATTAAGTACTCAGAATTCAATGGATATTTCTACTTCAATCTTACAATTTTCCAATAACAAATCAAAATGAGACTTATCGAATTCTATAAACATTTTTAAGTTAGGACTTAGCTTTTAGAAATAATTACTTACTTACTTACGCCTGTTACTCCCAATGGAGCATAGGCCGCTGACCAGCATTCTCCAACCCACTCTGTCCTGGGCCTTCTTTTCTAGTTCCATCCAATTCTTGTTCATTTTTCTCATGTCTATCTCCATTTCTCGGCGTAACGTGTTATTTGGTCTTCCTCTCCTCCTTTGGCCCTGAAGATTCCATGTGAGGGCCTGTCTTGTGACGCAGTTGGGTGCTTTCCTCAATGTGTGTCCTATCCACTTCCAGCGCTTCTTCCTCCGCTGGGATCTGGTTTGTTCTCTCCCACAGTACGTTGTTGCTAATAGTGTCCGGCCAATGGATCTGAAGTATTTTGCGTAGACAATTGTTAATAAACACCTGTATTTTCTGGATGGTGGCTTTCGTAGTTCTCCAGTTTTCTGCCCCATACAGTAGAACTGTCTTGACATTTGTATTGAAAATCCTGACCTTGGTGTTGGTTGACAGTTGCTTTGAGTTCCCGATGTTCCTCAGTTGTAAATATGCTGCTCTTGCTTTGCCGATCCGCGCCTTCACATCTGCATCAGATCCACCCTGTTCATCACTGATGCTGCCCAAATATGTAAAGGTTTTTACATCTTCCAAATCTTCTCCGTCAATTGTGATTGGATTGGTGCATTCTGTGTTGTATCGGAGAATCCTGCTTTTCCCTTTGTGTATATTGAGACCTACTGCTGCTGAGGCTGCTGCCACACTGTTCGTCTTATCCTGCATCTGTTGTTGCGTTTGGGATAGAAGGGCCAGATCATCTGAGAAGTCTAGATCATCCAGCTGCATCTTAGATGTCCATTGTATCCCGCGCTTCTCTTCAGATGTTGACGTCTTCATGATCCAGTCGATCACTAGGAGAGAGAGAAAGGGTGAGAGTAAGCAACCTTGCCTAACACCGGTCTTCACTTCGAACGACTTTGTCAACTGTCCTCCATGCACGATTTTGCAGTGTAATCCATCATATGAGTTCTGTATGATATTGACTATCTTCTGAGGCACGCCGTAGTGTCGAAGAAGTTTCCATAGTGTTGTTCTGTCCACGCTGTCAAATGCCTTTTCGTAGTCAATGAAGTTGATGTAGAGTGATGAATTCCATTCAATTGATTGTTCCACAATGATCCGTAGAGTTGCGATTTGGTCTGTACACGATCTATCCTTACGGAATCCTGCCTGTTGGTCACGAAGTTGGACGTCTACGCAGTCCTTCATCCTGTTTAACAATACCCTGTTGAAGACTTTTCCCGGTATTGAGAGAAGAGTGATGCCCCTGTAGTTATCACACTTGCTGAGATCGCCTTTCTTCGGTATTTTGATCAGAAGTCCTTCTTTCCAGTCTTTTGGTACTTGTTCCTCATCCCAAATCTTATTGAAGAGAATGTGGAGTATCCTTGCAGTTGCCGCTACGTCTGCTTTTAGTGCCTCTGCTGGGATGTTGTCCGGTCCTGCTGCTTTGCCACTCTTGATTTGTCTGATGGCCATGCTGATTTCTTCAACTGTTGGTGGGCCAACATTGATTGGGAGGTCCGTGGGTGCTGCTTCGATGTTGGGTGGGTTCAGTGGAGCTGGTCGATTCAAGAGTTCTTTGAAGTGTTCTACCCACCTGTTTTGTTGCTCTTCAATGTTGGTGATTACCTCGTCTTCCCTGCTTTCCACTAGTCGTTCTGGTTTGCGGCGATTTCCAGAGAGTTTCTTTGTCGTGTCATACAATTGTCTCATGTTTCCTTCTCTTGAAGCCTTTTCCACCGCCGTTGCTAAATCTTCCACATATTTACGTTTGTCGGTTCTGATGCTCCTCTTCACTTGTTTGTTTACTTCTGTGTATTCAGCTTGTGCCTTGGCTTTTTCTGCTCTTTTTCGACTGGTATTGATTGCTGCCTTCTTGTTCCTTCTTTCTTGAGTCTTATCCAGTGTATCAACAGTGATCCATTCTTTGTGATGGTGCTTCTTGTGACCCAGGACCTCATGACATGTTGAAGTGATTGCCTCTTTGATCCCCTTCCAGTTGCTCTCCACAGTAGTTCCTTCTCCATTGAGTAGATCATGAAAGGCCTGGAACTTTTTGCTGAGGACTATCTTGAATTTGTTGAGTTTGTTAGTATCCTGAAGAAAGGCCGTATTGAACTTTTGTGATATTGTCCGCCCCGTTGTCCAGTGTTTCTTGAGTGTCAATTTCATCTTGGCGACTAGCAAGTGATGATCTGATGCTATATCAGCTCCTCTCTTGGTTCTCACGTCCTCTATAGTCCTCCTGAACGTTTTGTTGATGCAAATATGGTCGATTTGGTTTTGTTTAGAGTGATCCGGTGAAGTCCATGTGGTTTTGTGTATGCGTTTATGTGGGAATATGGTGCCGCCTATGACCAGCTTATTAAAGGCACATAGATTTGCAAATCTCTCACCATTTTCGTTTCTTTCTCCCAGTCCGTGTCGTCCCATGATGTCTTCATATCCAGTGTTGTCCGTTCCAACCTTGGCGTTGAAATCTCCCATCAGAATGGTCAGGTCCTTTGTTGGGTACTTCTCGAGGACTGACTGCAGCCTATTGTAGAATTGATCTTTAGCGTCTTCATTGTAGTCGTTGGTAGGCGCATAGCATTGGATGATGTTCATTGAAATGCCCTCTTTTTTGTTTTGAACGAGGCTTTGATGATCCTTGGTCCATGAGATTCCCATCCTATAAGCGCATTTTGCGCTTGTTTGGACAGCATCAATGCAACTCCTTGTGTATGTGGGGCATTTTCTTCTTCATGGCCAGAGTATAACAGGAGCTGACCTGTAGTTAGTCGTTGTTGTCCAACTTGTGTCCAATGTGTTTCACTGATTCCAAGTACCTCTAGGTTGTATCTTCTCATTTCTGCAGCAATTTGGCAGGCTCTCCCGGTGTCCCACATTGTACGAACATTCCATGTACCTAAATAAATGGTCGCTCTGGTTGTCAGAAGGGGCATCGGCTTCGTAACTTCCGAAGGAATTCAGCTTTCACCATGAGGCGTCATAATTCTTCTAAACGAAGACCTTCTAACTCCCAGGGCAGAGTTTAAAAGGTTTGAATAATTTTTTCTGGTTAGCGTTTTTTAGCGAGTTAGTTTTCTACGGGATGGGGACGCTAACCCCATGCCCAACCCTCTTTTATCCGAGCTTTGGACCGGCAGTAGCCCCCTGAGGGACTCCAGGCGTTTTTTAGAAATAATAATAGTTCTTAATTAGTTTTAATGAATCTAGTTGAATAGACGTTTACTGATCCATTGTAAAATTGGTTATTAACACAGTATAATGTTTAAAATAATGAAAATTAACAAAAATTATCCTTCAGCTTATCGCTCCTCAATCTGAAGTCAAATAACGCACAATATCCAATTGTTAGGCTGCATCGGAATGTCTGAGATTCTTGACATATATTCTTCAAGTATTAACGGTAAAGCTAGTTCAGGAGGTAAATTGATTACAAAAGAACTATGTTTAATTAAATGTGAGTCAGTAGAATCTAAACGAACATTTCCTAAATACCTAGTTGAGAATTTTATCTTACTTCAGTCTGAACAAATAAATTATATCATTAGCGCAGTTTTGGAAATTAAACCCAGTTCAAGAGCATAACATCATATTAGAATGAATTTATTATCAAATTATATGTTTTTGTTTTGCTTTACCATCATGTTAGATACTTGAACGTGAATCGATGCGTGAACATCAACGTCAACAATCACCTTCTAATATATGAAAACCTCACAACAGAATTTGTATGAAGAATTCATTAACCTTGCCGTACTTTACTTCATGTCATTTTGATTTGATAAATGCAACTGACCAAATAAGCAATATTTCACTTTTTAATAACATTCTTTATATGAAAAACACCAATGAAATATGATTTTCTACTACTTATTTCTAACTTATTATCAGCTTAATTTACCGCAATATTTTCTTGGTGATGTAATATTTATTTCTGTATTTTTTTGAATTAAATGATATTTTATCCTTTTTCAAATACAAACTGTTCAATAAATAACAGCTTTCCTATTTTAGTATATGTTCTTATATGAAAACGCATTCAAGTGATCTAGGCATGTTAAAGTTCACTTAGTGGATTCTAAACCGGTTCGCTTCGGAAGTTGAATAATCTCGTCAATCTTCGGGTAAACGTATACAAGTTTCGTACACTTGTAGATAAGCGCAAAGAGGTGAGTCTGTTATTATTGTATCTACACTGGCCTGTCACTGAGTAGTGGCCAGTGGGACGTTTATCCAGTCTTTACTTACTTACGCCTGTTACCTAGTGGAGCATAGGCCGCCGACCAGTATTTTCCAACCCACTCTGTCTTGGGCCTTCCTTTCTAGTTCTATCCAATTTTTGTTCATCCGAAGTATTTTGTGTAGACAACTGTTAATAAACACTTGTATCTTCTGGATGATGGCTTTCGTAGATCTCCAGGTTTCTGCCCCATACAGCAGAACTGTCTCGACATTTGTATTGAAAATTCTGACTTTGGTATTGGTTGACAATTGTTTTGAGTTCCAGATATTCGTCAATTGTAAATATGCTGCTGATGAAGTCCTTGTGCGAGTATTTGGTTTTGTACTAATAAGTTTTTAGAAAAGTGGAAAGTAAAAATTGATAGTTTGATGACAGGTGTACTAGTTAAGATAAGAATAAGACGGGCTTCAATCAATGTTTCATGATAGAAATTAGTCCGACTTGAAAAGAGAGATACTGAAATAACATTCATTAAAAATCATTAAGTTACGCAATGTTCGGATGATTGGACAGTGAAGAGCATATTTGAAGACACTGAGTGAAAAATAAGCAACTTAAAATTATTGCAGTTAATAATAAATAAAATGTTCAGGATGGGTTGCGGAGATAATTGATTTTCATTAAAACCCTGAACCGATCTATTTTACATCACCATTGAAAACATGGAAGCACTGAAGGTGGACACGCAATGCCAAGGAATCCCATACTAGGACGAAACAGTTGTCTAGTGCTTCCAAATTTCCAATAGTAGCCTAACATTGATCGGTTCTTGGTTTTAATTATATAAGTAAAGTCGTTTGTAAAGGCTTATTCGACCAAGGAAGAGATAAGGGTGTTACGAATTTCTTATGAACACAGAGGTGTGGATTGTTAGCTCAATCACTATGGCTTCTGCTGTGTAAGAGAGGAGATCGAACACCACAAAGAAAGCCGATTGGTGTACGACAAATTACTTGGAATGATTTGTTTCTATTCACAAAATGACCGCTATCGAGAAAGTGGGACAGATTAGACCTGCGTTTTGAGCATATTCTTTCCTAAACATGAAGGGAGTTGTTCATCAGCTCGTTCACCCAGCTGTTTGGTTATACGTCTGATATAGCCTTTTCCACAGGAGCAGCTGGATTCGTAGATATACATTGATGTGACAGAACCAGGCAACTTATTCTTTAGTTGAGGAACTACCATAGGTCGGCTAGAAAACGATATATAGAGGTTATCTGAATTAAACATTTTTATTGCTTTAGTAAAGTTATCTCGTAGTACATCGCTAGCTATATCTCCATTGAATTGTAGCTTCAGGAAGAGGTTTCTTACTAACCATCTATGTTGCTATTTCCTGGTTCATTATATACGAGTTTAAGAAAACCTTGTGCACAACTCATTCCACTCGACATATTATGAATGTGCTCTAGTTCTTTGTTTATGGTGTTGTCTGAGCATATCTCCCTAGTTCTACTTGCAAGACACCTAACTGGGTTTATCTTGTGACGAATGGGTACAAATTTCAGAAAGTGTGTGTACTTGCTTATTGAAGAACTTTTCCTATATAAATTTCTACTGATAGGAACATTTTCTTTTCTGCTTAACACAACATAAAAGAAATGCAACTTGTTATCCAATTCCCCCACACACACCTGATTTCTGAGTGTATTTTTTTAAATCGCCCTAAGAGATTTTTTCTGATGTTCTGATCAACGATGATGAAGCTGTTATCAATCCGACGGCAACAAAAGTTAAGCTTATCAATCACTTCCTTGAGAGGTTCAATTTTTAGTTTCACGAGAAAAAAGTTGAATAAGAATAGGATCTAAAGGTGAACCCATCGCTTATTAACTGGATAAAATGAACGTGAAACTGGTAAAACTAATAACGACAAGATTTTGAAGTGATTGATTTGAGTTTATTGTATGAAAAAAAGCAAGTGTACACAAATAATCTTTTATTTAGTCTAAATCCACGTCATATTTTCTTGACGAGTTACTTGAAAATTAATATTTGGAATTACAAAACAGTTGGTTATATAGAATGAAACATCACATCCATCTACCATGCATATAAGAACAGATGTATCTGGCTGTAGACCAACTTTTACCAAACTTTTAGAATCTATGTCTGGGTATATTTGTTTTGGTGACAAAACAGATAAAACATAATCAGGATGAGGAGGGGAGCGTTTAGAGAAGTTAATAATACGTCTTTTCTCTGTATGATTGTTTCCATAAATATCATAGAGTAGATTTAAATCCTTCGTTGACTTAACAGATTTATCACTGGCAGGTTGTACAATCTCTTGTAAATTATGCATAAGATCGGTGATAGAATGTATTTTATTATGATTAATAAGTGGTTGAAAGTCTATAAACTTTCTCTTTCCGATAGGTTTTCTATATTCATGGTTTAAAAGTGGATAGGTTGTAATTGAAACGTTAATTGATTTTGGAATTTTAAATAATTTATCTGTCACACAGTGGTAATATGACTTTAGGTCAAAATTTGCTCGTTTTCGAAGACTGAAATTTAATCGTGATAATCGAGAGTAGGCCAGATAGTATGGATATGTTTCATTGTTTAAAAGCTGATCGTAAAGTTCTTGAATACTCAGTGGTAAACCACTAACAAGTACTTGGATTTTATTACATTCAGCAAGGTATAATGCTTCTTCTGGATGAAGATAAGATGAGCCATCAAGAGAGAAACCCATTATACGGAAATACTTCCCACATATTTGTGAAAGACGAACTCGACCGTTTTCGATTACGCCTTTGGATAAGCGTGCTGAAGCACGGGCGAACTCTTGAGATAGACCTGACAGTAATTCCGCATAAGCTTTATCAATTTCATTTTCTGAAATGGGTTCGAACAAACATTTACGTTTACACTTTTTTAATTTAGTTTCGTAAGAAACGTCAGAATGTGCAGATAATTCTTTGCCAATGATAAAATGATCCTAAATCATAATGAATTCGATTTACTCAATAGGATCATACCATGCTGACGGATCCGGAGAAACGGACTGCTGAGACCAAGATGCTAAAATAAAAAATAACTTGGTTTAATGAAAGTTCGACTAAACAAACACGAAATTACCAATCACGAAAACAGTTCCCTTTATTATATGATTTTTACGAGTAGCACTGCCTTCATCACTGGCCGAAGCTTAGCAACAGAAGCTAGCGGAGACACTGGCCCTGAAGCCTCAATATTCAGCAGGTAATGTCTCAGTAAGAAAGTGGGTAGTTTCAAAGTCCGTTTCCGAATGTGACTTAAAATTGGAGTAGGGTACAGACTTTCCAAGTCAGAAATGTGTGAATGATGTACTAATTATGTCTTCTACGCAAGATAATGAATGTCCGTTGGTCGGATACCATCAGCAACAGCCTACTATGTGAGAGATCACACCAACCTCCAGCTGAAGAGGAAATTAAGACAAGGCGGTGGGAGTGGACAGGACATACATTGCGGAAATCCTCAAACTGCATCATGAAACCATCGCTAGATTGGAATTCTGAGGAGAAACGGGAAGAGGAAGGCCAAAGAACACACTGCACCGAGAATTAGAAGCAGATATTAAAAAGACGAATAGCAACTGAAAAGGGCTGCTCAAGACAGAGTTCGATGGAGAATGCCGATGGGAGGTAACAGGCGTAAGTCAACTAAGTAATTACGTATATTTATTTGGTTTAAATTTTTTACGAGCGTATATTTTTGAACCGCAGTCTGATTAACTGCTTCATATCAAATGAATTAGTTAGAAGTGGAGATTAACCTGAAAGCTACCCTAATTTCTGTTACTCATGTTCTCTATGAGCTGATTCTCGAGTAGAAACTACAACACTATTACACCAAAAGCAGAACTTTATCAAAATATTGAACCAGTATAACGTCTGAGGTAGGATAGGAGAGTGAACATACAGCTCAGACGATACATAAATTTAATTACGCACAAGCTGTACAGAAAACGCATTCGTCGAAAAGATTCCCTCATATCATATGAACTATCAACTATGGACGTCAAACAAGTGCCGAAGATCGACCTCAGTGTTGTACTTTCATTTGCTACTTGCCATAAAGCAGATGGAGGAATTGAAATCTCAGTACCACCCAGAATAACAATGGCAATCTATAATTACTTTACCAAACCGTTTTAACTACCACCTCTTCCTGTTAAGTACACTATGTAGGGTTATAGACAGTCATCTCTGACTTTTAAAACTTATCGAACAGAAGTTGTCCAAATAATGAACTAATAGACATGTAGTCAAATTCTATGGAACAGAAATATTTTCTGTAATATAATGGCAAAAAATCAATTGTTAGAGTAACATTTTGCTCTAGATTGTGTGAAATTCATAGTCGACATCAATTCGGCGAATCATAGTATCCCACATGTTTCTCAGAGTAACTTGTACCTAATTTTCTAACAAAATTTATTCCACCCCCGAAACTTCCTGAACGCAACTCACTTTTTACAAGGTTTGGTCTTTCGATTAAAATCGATTATATTTGCCACGCCATTCTCGACAGAGGTACTATAGAAGACACATTCCGGCGAGACTCTAATTTAGGGACGAGCCAATCAGAAGCGTTTGAGCGATTTCAAGGTCACGGAGCCAAGTTCAACACCCGCTGCTAACATACGATCGGTTCACAGCGGATTTTAGAGAGTAGGTGATTAATGAGAGGTTACAACAGATAGGACGGCGAGACTCTAATTTAGGGACGAGCCAATCAGAAGCGTTTGAGCAATTTCAATTATTAGTCAATCAGAAGACAGCATAAAGTAAAAAAATATTAAAAGAAAGTAATAAATTACAGTGGATATTCTTCTTTGACATGATTTAAAAACTCGTATGTTAGCATCCAAACCCCAACCTTAACCCTTACCTAACCCTAAACCCTCACCTAACCCTTAACCCTAACCTTAACCCTAAACCCTAACTAACCCTAACCCTAAACCCTCACCTAACCCTAAACCTTAACTCTCAACTAACCCTAACCCTAACTTTACCCGTAAACCTAACTCTAACCCAATATCAAAAATATGCTCACTAGTGACTGGCTTCACGAGGTATATCCTGGAGTTCTAGTGAGAAGTAGTGACTAGTGGAGTTCAACCAGGTCTGTTGTGAGGTAGTAACTCACTGAAGACAATGGTGAATGTGTCGCTCAATTTCGTGGATTGGTTGTAGTTAGACATTAACACCGTTGGATGCCGGCTCAGTGGTCTAGTGGTTAAGTGCTCGGGCGCGAAGCCAGTAGGTCCTGGGTTCGAGCCCCGCGGGGTCGTGGATGCGCGCTGCTGAGGAGCCCCGTACTAGGACGAAACGGCCGTCCAGTGCTCCCAGGTTTTCAATGGTGGTCTAGCTTCAATTGACTCATGGTTTCAATTCGTGAAAATTTCTAACCCAATAGACGAGTTTCTATTCCATATGCATTGTGAATTCAGAACCTCTGAACCTTAATCAAACCTTAACAAGTTTTTAAATCATGTAAAAGAAGAATATCCACTGTAATTCATTACTCTCATATAATATATTTTCACTTTATACTAACTTTCTTCTGATTGGCTAATGATTGTCAAGGTCACTTAAGATTCGTTCAAAGGTCGTCCTTAAATTAGAGTCTCGCCGCATTGCCAAATATACGTCAAACGTAGGGTTTTCAGTTTCTGTTGAAGATATCCTAAAAGTCTGTTAGAGCAGCTCCCTAAAATTCAACTGTAGTTGAATCCGTAAGTTAACCCATATGTGTCTTAGGGTTGGTGTGAGGCCACTGCGATATATTACACTAAACCAGAGATCTGAATGAAGACTGTCCAGGGACAGCTAAATATTAGGAACAATGCCTTTAAGATAACAATATACAAGAAGACAACATGGATTATAATCTGGAATGCTGTAGTAGCATTTGGTTCCAAGATATCTGTCTAGAAGACGAAAGTCCGAGAAAGATAGGAGAGCCTTCTTAGTAGTTGCAAAAAGAAAAGGTAGGTACAGACTAATTATTCATCACATAAAAACATGTGACAGAGAGGAATACTAGTTTATTAAGCTTGACAAACGTCAACCTAAGGAGTCTGCAAAAAGTGATCCCCACCAGTAAAAAATGCCCAACATACACTTACCACTCTTTTTCATTGCGCGACCTTGAGTATCAACAGAACGAAGCATTAAAAGTCTGATTTTAGAAAAAAATAAAGTGTTTTAAACAATCCTTGAACTGGTCACATGAACCCTGTAACCAGGTCTGTTTCGCTTGATCTTTCCCTCTATGTGATCAGTTAACTTAAGGTTAAAATATTAATTTCGAGAAATTTCAAATGGTTAATTCGTTGTTTTAAATTTCTCGATTTTAGACATGCAATGATTGAAATTTTGTAGCTTTTTCAAAATCTAAAGCTGTAGGTCACTGTGGTTTTATTTTTTATCTGTGCCAGATAGGTTGTTTGTTGTAACTAAAGTTACAGAAAATGAGTCTCAGGCAGGTAAAATTCTTTTTATTCTGTAATATTAGGTTATCCGACCGAAAAACCTCTGGGGCAACACTGTAAGTCTAAACGTATACAACCAACCTTGCATCATTATACAGTGCGTTGAATCTGACCACACGCTAGGATCATTTATAAATATTCTCAGGTATAACCACTTTTCCTGGTAACAAAAAAGGATATCTGGCGGATGTACATTTAGCCCTTTTGAAGTTGTTGGGTAACTTGCGTAGTTTGGTTTATTTGATGGCAAAGGTAAGTCTGTATTTAAAGTATTCCTCTATAGCCCACCCTATACTCACGGGTTGATCTTATGTAACTGTCACTACATCGAACCAAGGAGGAACTCTCCCAGAATTTCACTTAGAGAAAAAATGCTCATTTGACGTCCCATGGAATTGGATTCTTTAACCCTAGAAAGGCTTCTCAAAAAAGCTAACGATTTCTTCAGCAAACTATATATAAGAATACTAGCCAATTAATTATATTTCTATACGATATAACAGAAAACTAACTGCGAGGGAAATTATACCGACTGTTTTTCTATTTACACATACTTTTTAAAACTGTTTCTTCAATAAGAAGACTTGATTCGCGACTATTTATTTCTATTCTGTTCATTTGTTTGTACTTTTCATTCATCCCATCTTTTCTACCACATTATTATTATTATTTGTTGTGATATGAGAAGCCACTGTCAGAAAATCAGGCACTTATGGGTTCCAGGAATTTCCCAGTTATGATACAAACTTTGTGCTCTGAACATATATAAACCTATAGTTGTAAAGGAATAAGTACCTCCGTAGGTCTTCAACAGCTGATGCTAACCGCATTAGTTTTACCGGACTCACCTAGCTGAAGGGGCTCAGCTACTCATCCGTACCAGATCGCGAGAGGGTACGCCGTGCTTTACTTACCCTACAACCTCTAGCCAGCTTAGATTAATCACTTCCCGACATATCGATGGCCTTTCAAATATATCTTCGAACCTCTTGTTTCTGACTTTTGATTTGACTGGGTTGTCAGATTTCGGTAATAAAAGGTGTTCCTTGTTAAGATACTGTCGAAGTCCGAATACTTGTGGCATCTTTAAACCTATGTCCATGCTGACAAATTACCAAATATATTACGGTCAGTTAACAGCACCGGCTTCACTGGGCTCCATGAAAGATCTTAAAATACTAAATGATGCTGAAACACAAGGGCAAGCTCGTCATTAAGATAATGAATATCTAACAACAGTTGAGCCAGTCTTTATGATCGTATCACGAAGTTTCGTGACTAGTAGTCTGTTTGAATGATTCGTGAGTTGATTTTATACCACTGAACCTTGACAAAACTATTCGTCAGGCCAAACTTACAAATATTTAACGATTGGTCAGCAAAACGTGACTGTATTATCGGCGTTCGTTAAGGTCCAGGGTGACAACATGAACTAACCAATCGTAAATATGATTTGGTCTATGCAATAATTCCGATACACAGATGGCTATCTCACTCTTTGTTGAAGCTATTTCTACTCATGTTTATTTTTATTGATTTTATAGGGTCATGAGCAGATTTTTTTAGCGAGTTGTTTGTCCTCCTTATAACAGGATTACTCGGTAGAAAGTGAAACCAACTCAACGTCACAAGCACGATTTAACGAAGTATTTTGCATAATAAATTAGCATCAATACATTTGCTTCGTGACATCCTGTAGAATTATGGTCTACTTCGTTATTAGTGTAAGATCCATTTTGAAGGTTTTGTGTGTTGGTGAAAATCCCTCCATGTATATACTTGTACTTTGTTCCTATTGATCCCCTTAGTTGTACATTGTTGTATTTTGATTACATTTGAATTGTTAATACTTGTATTTTTATTATAGTTTTTGTTTTTCTTACGCATTCACTAAGTTTGTGTTTCTTCCTGAACTGCATCTGTGTTGTTTTACTTGGCGGTAGCCATATTGATTTGCTCCTCCTTTTGTGTGTGTTCTATCCCGTCAGGATAGAATAACATTCATTTGTTGTGACTGGTAATTTTCCCTCATCTTCTATCAACTTCTTTATTTATTGTAATTTAGATTTGATTGATTGAACAATTATTGGTTAAATAGCCGGGTGGTAATATTTGTTTAGGTAACGATTTACATTTAAATTTATGATGAATTATAGAACCGCTATTTACCCGATTACTTGTTTTGATTTCGACGGGAAAGGGCGCGTGTCTAAAGTCCCCGGTCGGCTATTCTTCTATCCAAACCGTAGTTTGGATTCTACAGTTCTAAACAATTATTACTTGGCCGAAATCCTTTGGCAATCGTTCGCGGATTTTGATTATCGTTTCTGGGAATATTTGGTGGTTTCGTTTATAATGCCAACTAATCGTCGAAGGAAATCAAGCCCAAAGTTCGTTGATGTTAATGAAGAATCCCCTATTACCAAGCAAGTGCCTTTTGATGTCCTTAAGTGTCATGGTTCAGACTCGAATAGGGTTGATTATCATGGTAGTGACTCTAGTCTTAATTCGATGACAGATAACGTAAAAAATCTTAGCTTTGAGTACTATTTTTAGGACTCAGTCCCACTACAATCTCACTTTATCATAAGGAGCCACAATTTACCAGCATATTCTGCCCTACATAAATGAGTGAATTGAAGTTATCTCCCCACTATCATGGTCAGTAACGCTACCCTCTCTCCTTGGTGATGTTGGCTCTCTTACGTTTGTGGTGTATATGAATATTGCTTTAATCTAAGCCCCTTGTTGGAACACACTGTTTCGTTATTACAAGCAAGTCAGATGGTTGAAGCTTCTGTATTGTGGATTAGATATCCATTTAGTACATCACACTGCTATGAAGATAACTAGTGGTATAAGTTATGAAACACAAGTCAGATTATATGTGCTTTACAGATGGCAAAAATAGACAGCGAATCAAAGAATGTGCAAGGGTTTAGAATTGTAAAACTTTCAGGGTAAGGAAACGAATCAGTGGGCGGGTAATAAGAATTT